TCACTTTAGATAATCTTAATATATGAATAAATATATTTCGATAATTCCAGAGATATTAATAAATAAATAAAAATATATATTTTTAAAACTTCCTTAAAAAAATTATTTCAAATACAAGAATTGTCCTGAAATCAAAACTCTACTAGGTATTTTACTTTAGATGGTATATACTTACTTCGCTGTAAATATCGTAATCTTAAATCATACAGGGTGTTCAAAATTCTACGCCAAACTTTCTAAAATATAAAATAATTTTTTTTTAATGGAACACCCTGTATATTATTTTTTATTATTAAAAAATAAACATTTTTATATTTAAAGTATTTCAAAATTCTTTTGTTTCACAGTCATATATTATATGAAACCGCATATATCTGCGAAATTGTTAAAAATTTTGAAATACTCTAAATACAAAAAATGTTTATTTTTTAATTCTCCATCTATAGAAAAAATAATATACAGGGTGTTCTATTTAAAAAAAAACGTAGAAAAATTATTTTATATTTTAGAAAGTTTGGCTTGGAATCTCAAACATCCTGTATGATTTACGATTACCATATTTATAGCAAAGTAAGTACAGACCATCTAAAGTATATACGGAAAGGAAGCCAAAAATTCAATAATATATAGGATGTTCCATTTAAAAAAATCATCCCAATCCACTCACGCTTTTTTGAGTCACCCTATAGAAATTAAAATATTTTCCAGAAATACATCCTAAGTTTTTTATTCTGGGAGCTACAGATTCCCGACGCAGTATTGCCGGACCCTGTATTCATTTTTTTAAATGGGAATAAAAAAATTCTCCAACATTTATACAGTTTTAATTTTTCTCGCAAAAAAACTGATAGACCGTGTTCCGGGAAATATACCATATAATAACCGTATATTGTAAGAACAAATAATATGTCTTAAATACTAAAAAAACTAGGTTGTTAATATTATGTCTTTAAAATGTCCTAACTACGTCCCTAGTCTTTGTTTTCTTCAGCCGTTCTGGGAAAGTGCGAATGATGGATGGAGCAGCAATATATTTTTTATATCAATATTGTTTGTTTGTAAGGTTTCAGTTTATTCCGGAAAAATCTATTTTAAGATCCTTCTAGAGCATTTCCTTACAATGAAAAACATAAATGTTATTTTAGGATGACATAAATAAATACTCATACGAGAATATTTGACAGCATCCCCATTAATACGCATAAATAAAATATTATCGAAAAAAAAACACGTCAGAGTAGCCCATGAAATGACAATAGCTGTTAATTTCTGTTGAACTCGTTCGTACATATATTATATAATTATAGTTTTGTTATATTTATGATTCAATACCTGGGATTTAAACACAAACTAACTTTAGTTAACGAGTCTTTATTAAAACCAAACAAAACATAAATTGAAAGAAATAACACTTGTAAAAGTGAAAAAACAATTTTATTCAAACCAGTCAACAAGAAATAAGTACACAATGAAAAAATGAATTGATAAAAATGCAGTTAAACATACAATGAAATTTGTCATCATTCTTATTATTCGTCACAACCAAAACAATTACTAAAAAAACAACATATAATGAATCATTTACTTAAATAACTAGCACCATAAACTATACATAATAAAATAATAATACTATTTTTATTTATATTTTTTTACTTATTTATGGTACAAAAATAAGTTTTTACTATGCTAGTTTCGAAACTATAAAGTAATAATTACAGGATCAGAGACAAACAAAGGCAATCTTGGAGAAGCCTCAAACTTAAAATGGTCATTAAAAATCAATCATTCAGTGTAAAATCTGCATGGCCATTAAAATGGCATGATATATTAGTATCATTTTTAAACTAGTGCAAAACTAGTGTCGTCTGCAGATATTTTTCACACCACCTGTATATTAGGGGTATTTTAGAATCTAATTTGGGTCAAAATCTCAATGTTTTAGGTTATGGAGAGTATTTCTCATACAGCTTAACCGAAAGTGTCAAAAAAAACAGTTAAAAAGCATATACTCAGCCTAATCTCTAAAAAGTGAAGCCCAAACAGTGAAAGAGAAATATGGAATTCTGCATAAGTCTATTTCACCCGGATATTCATTGAACTGCGCATGCCTTACCTGAAGAAGTTTTCATTGGTCGGTGTTTTTAAAGGGAAGTGGTTGACTGACATTTCACCTAACCTTCAATTTTATTTATATTTTTATTATTTATAACACATTATCATGGAGTTGGAAAAATATCAAAAAATAGTTGAAAACAATAAACTAAACAAAATCACTCTTTTACGCGCACAAATAAAAAGTAATCCAAACAGAACTAAAACAACAATCAATCGGAGTTTGGCGCAATCGCAGTTCAATCGATATCCGGGTGAAATAGACTTATGCAGCATTAGCAGCCGGTTAGACCGGAAGTGAGAGAAAATGAAAGTATATTTTTAAAATGAAGTACATACATCTCGAAATTCGAAATATCTTTAACCAAAAACATTTAAAATTTTATCCAACACAGAATTAGTTGCTAAAATACTTCAATGAAAAAGTGATGTGAAAAAAACTGCAGAAACCAGTGATATTTTTGAATGGTGCTAAAAATTATGTACATCCTTAATATAAGTTTTGATTATGTTTGTGAATGATTAGAAATATAATGACTTAAAATATAGGAAAAATCAAAAAAAGTTGGACGTGTATCATCTAATGTCAAAAGAAAATATTTAATTAATGATAACATATATTTGACACCAATTAAACTTTTAGTTACGTAATCGAGGGCGCGATTTTTAAATTCATTCTTGCCAACCATGGACATATTCGGCAATGGGCTGACTAACTGAAATTTATATTTCTCGCTGGGGTTTCAGGTGTTAGTTCTGCTGTAAAAAATGTCAAGTTACCACATTTATTTATTTATTTCCTGACATTGTCATTCGTTTTGACAATTTAGTTTTGTATTACGAGTTTTTGGTTTAAATGAATTGTGTTGTGAAAGCTTAAAAAGGTTTATTAGCAGACTTTGCAGTCGAACATAGCTCTTTTTAGAACCTCTTGTAAAACTTGGAAAATAAGTTGGTTATAATAATGGTTTTATAATTCGGAAACTCTCTATTTATTTATCTAGTAATGCTAAAACACTCTATTTGAAAGTCGATTAGAGAAAATAGTATGATTCATTGGCAAGTAACGTAAATATTTGCGATCCGGTAAAATTGTGATGTAAGAGGAGGCTTAGCTTGCCGGAGACGAATCAGTAGTAGATAGGCCGGCCGGCTGTTGAGTTGTGTTTTGTCATAGAGCTGATATTTGGGGGTTGAAAGTCTTTTGACTATAAACGTTGCCAGTACTGTAAGGGAATGGGTCGTTTGACCAGAAGAAAACCTCTTGTGACGTCTTGCCTTCGAGGTTGGTCTTGAGAGTTTGAGGTCTCCCTTGTCTTCTCCATTGACACGATGCGGCGTTAGGGTAGAGAGACTAGTGAGGTACCCCAATTAGCTTATTCGATTGGGATGCGAATCTGTTTAGCGGCAGAATTGCGTCCGGGGGAAGCCCCTATACTATTTCAGGTGACACTAGCTAGTTGTTGAAGATGATTAACCAATATATAACCGAATGATATTTGAATTAGATGGAAAATATGGAATGGGATATATTGAATAGAATATATCAGTGGCTAGGGGGCGGAGTACCCCCGGGTGAGTCTTACTATTTAACTATCAATTTTTTCCAGATCAGTAAATGTTTGTTTTGTTATTTTCATGTACAATGAGAGAGTGCTTGCCAATGACCAACTAAATGGATATTTGAGGTGAATTTGCATTGTGAGACCCGGTTGAGTAAGCCCCAAAATAGCGATTTTACACTCTTTTAGTGCGAAGTGTACAAGATAGCTTAATAGCCGTAAAAAAACTCATCGCAACTTTATTAGAATATTTTGAACGGGAAAGCGGCAGTAATGTCTCTTAAGTGCTGTTAAGAAGGTAAGTTTTGTTGATGTAAATAATAACTGTTTATACATTTATAATTAATCTATTTTTGTTTCCTAAAATATTTTGATTAAAATATCACATGACTGAAAGTTTATTTTATATGAACTATATCCATATTTTTACACGCATCTTCGTTTGATTTTTGTTATTAGGCTAGACAATAATACAATTAAATTATTATATCGACATATTTATAAAGCACTCAGGTAAAACATATTATTTACAAAAAGTTCCAGTACTATATACATCACCTATATCAATATTCCTTTATTACACAGGGTGTCCCAGGCTGAGCGTGCATTAGAAGTTTATAGAGAACTACAATATCTAGATCGGAGATTTTTTGCACATCATTGTTTCACAACGAGATCTATCGCTTAAAAATATTTTCTATAAAATACGTTCTAAAACTCAATCTTAAATAACTTAAAAACGATTTATTTTAGGTATAGGAACATGTATAGTCAAAAAGTAACGAATTGAAAAATATTTACACTAGTGAAATAAAAAAAAGTTTGAAAAAAAAGGTTTATGATAATTTTTTAATCGCTTAATTCCATGACAGCTGCGGCCATTATTCTATGACATTCGAACAATTTAATTTTTGAAATAGATAGCCACATGTCTTCTCTTTATGTCGCAGTGGTTGTGGTAATCACTAAATTTGACATTTAGGCTATACACATTTTTTTGACAGACAGTTTTTTTCGTCCAAAAATTTTAAATATTTTTTTTCTCAAAAACGGTTATTGGTAAGTATAGACTGTTTAATATCAAAATTCATGAAATTTTACAGAGAATTTAAGTATGTAATAAAAAATGGGGGCACTTTAAAATAAGGAAGTTGCTGTCAACTTCCGGTATTTCCGGAAGTGCCGCCATATTGAAAATATTTTTAATCGATAGATCTCGTTGTGAAACAGTGATGTGCAAAAAATCTCCATCTAGATATTATTGTAGTTCTCTAGCAACTTCTAACGCACGCTCATCCTGGGACACCCTGTATACCTATAATGTTACCTCGTTTACGTATCTTTACACTGACTGTCGGCCATATTGATAAGATTTGGCTCGCTCTCGCTTTTTTTCAGGTTCTCCATCTCAGTCTTGGACATCAGCTCGTTTTCGCTGAGTTCCTTTTTGAAGTCGGGTACGCTTCTGGTCAAAATTTCTTCGGAAGTCTGCTCTATCCTGATGTCTTCCCCGTTAACTTTAAGCAGTTCTTCATTCAAGCTTGCGTTCTTCAAATCAACGGTGCTATTGGCAAAGATGGCCGAAGCGCCAAGGTCACTTGGAGGTGAGTTTACAATTAAATCATCGTTTTTAACATCTAAAATGGTCAATTTTAATTTAGAGACTCTCTCAAAAAAATTTGGATCTAGTTTAGATACAAATCTGGATGTTTTAGGTTATTTGAGGTATACTTTCTTTTTGAACTCACACACTATAGAATTTCATGTCATTGATAATTTATCTGCGTGGTCTGTATTTTAATGCATGTGACAGAGATAAATAATAAATAACCGGTTGACAGACAGAGATACAAAATCAAAACCGGGATACAGTGTTGCCGGTTTTTACGTGTGTAGGAAAAAATTAAACTATTTTAAAAACTTTCATGTATACTACTGAAATGAAGATAATATATCTAAGCTAAATATAATCAATTACAGCTGTAGTAAAATAAGTAACTAATTGTGAAAAATAAAGTTCCGACCCTAGGTGCCATATTTTTGTAAACACCTACTTGTTCGGTTTGAAATTTTGATGTAAAATCCGGCAATACTGCGTAGAAGAAATGTATCAACCTAACTTTTATCTCTGTTTAAAACATTTGATTTTTCATTTAAACTGTCTACATGACTGTCTTACACGTTAAAATCCACACCACGCAGTTTGAATGATCAGATCGGTATATCTGTGTAGTTATATTTAAAATAAGCTAACTAGTTGCCACTTCCGATTGAACCGGAAGTAGGAAATATTCTCAAAAAAATACACCTCAAATATCCCTAACCTTAAACTTAAAAAAAATCAGAACTGTATATGACTGTATTTAGTTAATCTTTGATTTAGTATGTATACCGGGTGCGTCTCAAAAGTGGCTCACCCCTATAACTTTTTTCTTTTTTCAGATAAAACAACGATATTTGGTATGTTAGTATATGACATAAATTGGGATTGATTGACGTATTCAATTGTTTTCGGTCACTTCCGGTTTCACCGGAAATGACTACAACTTTTGATTTTTAAATGGCACTCTCGGTATTTTTTTACTTTATTCGATAGAAAATGACATTCTGAATCGAATGACATATCATATGTCAATTTTTGACATAATCACTCAAAAACAAATTCTATTTTAAATTTCAATCTAGAGTGCCGTGGGGCTGTATTAAAAACACTAATTTGTAATCAAAGAGCCTTGGAAAAATAGATTTGATCGTCTAATGTTTCTAGTGTCTTGCCCTGGCTGTTTAAAAGATGCCCAAATCGTATTTGTAATCATATCTCAATTTTTTCAAATGGAACGAGGGTGGCTCATTAGCATATTTGGAAAAAGCATTTTTTTACGAATAATTTGATACCACACACTTGGTAATTTGAGTCAAATTGTCGTTATGAACCGCATGTTACAATTTCAAATAAACCATATGCCAAAATGTCAAAAGTTGACATATGATATGTCATTCGATTCAAAGTGTCATTTTCTATCGAATAAGGTAAAAAAATGCCGAGGGTGACATTTAAAAATCAAAAGTTGTAGTCATTTCCGGTGAAACCGGTAGTGACCGACAATTTATGTCATGTACTAACATACCAAATATCGTTGTTTTATCTGTAAAAATAAAAACGTTATAGGGGTGAGCCACTTTTGAGACGCGCCCGGTATAGGCTTGGTGCATTCTCCGCCGGTGCTGCCACCATCGAGAATATCGTAAACAACTGATATACAGGGTGGTCCGAATTGTATTTCGGAAACTTCGGCAGCATATTCTGCAGATAAAAATAAGTAAAAAAGTTCGTATAAATGTATGCCCTAGAATGCTTAGTTTCGATGACACAGGGTGTAGAAGTTTCATTTTTATTTCGATTTTTTCCAAATAATTTCTGAAGTAACCTCAATATTTAGATGAAAATTGGTGTCTTAAAGTTTTTTGACATGAGACATTTCATTTTGATGTCAATATGACTCCTACTAGTAGAGGGCGCCACCTACATATTTTTAACTGGTTTGAAGAGTAATAACTTTTCGTCTGTACCTGTACAAAACTTCTGAGTAAAAAAATATACATTTACGACGTTTTTTACGTAAAAAATGTCTCTTGGTAAAAATCGCTACTAGTATTGGTTTTCGAGATATTTGGAATCGAAATTATCAATACCTGTCATCATTGACATAAATTAAACATGTTGAATAAATAGTTATTAGACTGAGAGCATAAATTTGAAAGTTTTTGTGCCAAAAGTTCAACAGAAACTGTTTTATCATCAATTTTTGATTTTTATGATTAATTTAAAAAAATAAAAATTACCCAAATTTATTATTTCAGTGAAATAACTATCTACTCAACGTGTTTATTTTTCGTCAATAATGACATGTATTGACTATTTCCATTCTAAATATCTTGAGAACGGTTGCTCGTAGCGATTTTTACAAAGAGATATTTTTTACGTAAAAAAATACGAAAATGTATATTTTTTCACTCGGCAGTTCTATACAGGTACGGACAAAAAGTTATTACGCTTCAAAACAGTTAAAATACATGTAGGTGGCGCCCTCTACAAATAGGGGTCATAATGACATCAAAATCAAATTTCGCATGTCAAAAAACTAATAGATACCAATTTTCATCCAAATATTGACGTTACTTCAGAAATTATTTGGAAAAAATCGAAATAAAAATGAAACTTCTACACCCTGTATCTCCGAAACTAAGCATTTTAGGACATACATTTATAAAAAGGATTTTACTTCTTTTTATCTGCAGAATATGCTCCCGAAGTTTCCGGAATACAATTCGGACCACCCTGTATACAAACATACGGGTTTAAATAGCGAGTATGCGAGAAATTTATTATATAATTATTCTAAGTGTTAAGAAGTATAATTTGTGAAACTTCTAAAAATAAAAATAAAAAAGTAAATATTTTGATATGTTCAGAAGGTCTAGCTATTATAACTTATTATACCAGCTAAAAAAAATGTTTAGATGAGTACAACTACGGTAGCGAGCATAGTTTTACGCACCGGAATTGCTAGTGGGGTCATTAATTTTAATTTCGGCTATAACGAAATTTTTTAAAGGTACATACATAGATAAAATTTTAGATGTACAATATAAAACATTTAATCACTAGTTGATTAAAAAAGTATACCATTAATATTGCAAATTATATTTTATCCTCTTATAGTATATGACTATTTAATTTTTTGATTATGTAACGAGCAATTTGTTTACTCACTTGTTTCGTCGAACTGCTTGAATCCATTTTTACTATTGATCAAATCGGTGTAAGAAATTATAAAGCTATAAAATGTTGTTTCGGGAGAGTTGAATATCCGGGAAAGTTGAGTTATTGAATGTTATTGCACCTACCAATGCCCTAATTACGCTCTCCTTTACGCGTTAGCATTTTTTCAGCAATTTTATTAACATTGTCACAACACAACACAACGCCTAGTTCGGATTCTTTTTTACTTATTTTTTACTACCCGAAACAGCGTTACATCGCACAAACCTTGTACGTGAGTGTTTTATAGTCTCAATAAGTGCACTAGCAAAAAAACTAAAATACTTAAATGTTATGCCAAAACCACGATTTCAATATTATTTTATTGCGATCAATATGAACCGCGAAAATTTATGATTTCTGCCGTAGAGAGCGCTGCGGTCTTAATTTTTTGAAATCAATTGAAATGCACCAAGCCTATGTAGATCCATAAAAAAATCATAAACGAGTTGGGTAAAAAAAAACATAAAAATTCAAATAAATTTGTGTTTTCAATGCCTACCTATAGATGGGAAGCTGCTTTTGAGGTAGCTTCCTCGTCTCGGTTGCTCGTAAACCGGATGCTGAGGACTAGTAGCGATGTCTTTAAGCTTTTCCTTAACATCTGTATTATTCAAAGGACTACTCTGAAGGTTCTTCTCCATTTTGTGTTGGGAGATAAACGCACAAGCCTTCCCCAGTATAAATATACTGTTCAGTATTTTCGTGGACCACAGACAAAGGTAGGCAACAAGGAGAATAATGACAGCCGGTATATTTTTGATATTAATCGAGGTAAAGAGCACGCGGAACATGATAACGCCGAGAGGAAGTGGGATGAAACCCATTCTTCTGGCTACCAAGTCCGAGTGGTCAGAAAAGGCGTGTTTTTGTCTACTCTGGGCCAAGTCGTAGGCTAAGCTGGTCCGATAGTCTTTGTACACGTCTAAATGAAGCTCATTAAATCTGTAATCAAAATTATAAAAAAGCTGTAAGTAAAAAATTAAAGCAAGGGAATATACTGGTATTCTTATAAGAATAGGATGTCTGTCCAGCAAATGGAGAGACGATTTCGAGAAACGACATCCAAAAATTGACAAATAAAAACTAGTTACTTTTGATTTAATATTACAAACAAAAATGTCAATGTCGTAAATTCTTAATTGAACAGACTCTTTGAATAAGAAGACTAAGGAAGGAGCATATCAAAAATCTTAGGTACACCGCGATGGGCCTCAAATATGGCCGACTTAAATTCCGGTTTATCAGTGTCGTTCTAATTTTATTTAAAAAATGTAAAACTATGATGTAGGGTAGACGTGGGGTAGACTCAATAATTTGTTGTTTTATTTTACGTTGTGAATAAATGTTGGTAGTTATTAAAATTGTTACAAAAATATATAATTCTAATAAAAATAGATAAGTTATAATAAGTATTTATTAACACAAACATCCGATACGCTACTGAAGCAGGTAAGTCAAATTAACGTATCTAAATTCTTTGACATCTAATCTTTGACAAGTAATAAATAAAAGCTAAAATGCAAGAAAAATATATAATTTAGTTAATTTAAGTGAATTTCATAAATGATCGGTTTACTACACGTATGTATATTATATAGTCACTTACTAGCGAAAAGTTGTTCCATTATTTCACTCAATTTTTGCCGAGATCTACCGCACGCTACACAACCAACTATTTTAGAGTCTTTTTCGATAAATCGCGATAGTGTCACTGTTAATTTAAGTTCTGCCACAATTTCCATCTAGATTTACTACCTTTATACAACTATCAGTAGTAGAATAAATAATAAATAACATAAAATCAGCTCCGTAAAGACTGACAAATCCACAAAATTTCAAATCAAATTCAAATGTGTCAAATGAATCGTCAAACAGAACTGTCAAGGATCCCCACCCTAGAGAGCTTTTATGGTGGCTTTTCCGCCCACCATGCATGAATACATGGATAGCATTATGCTCCTTCCTTAGTCTTCTTATTCAAAGAACGGACTACAACATAGCAACCCACTGTAATCAAAAATGTCCATAGAGTCTGTACAATAAGAAGGCGCATGCGAGTGACAGTTCTGTGTCTTTTTAATTCACGAGTAAAGCATCGTCCTTAGAACTGCGTATGGTCCCATACATGGGCCACTACAGCTAATTAAATTAAATAATTTCTGAAGTAACGTCAATATTTGGATGAAAATTGGTGTCTGGGAGTTCTTTGACGTGATAAATTTGATTTTGATGCCAAAATGACTCCTATTTGTAGGGGGAGCCACCTACATGTGTTTTAACTGTTTTGAAGAGTAATAACTTTTCGTCCGTACCTGTATAAAACTAGTGAGTAAAAAATTATATATTTACGACGTTTTTTACGTAAAAAAAGGTCTCTTGGTAAAAATTGCTACGAGTAATGCTTCTCGAGATATTTGGTTGCGAATTATATTTGGAATCGAAATTATCAATAACTGTCATAATTGCCATAAATTAAAATTGACTAAATAGTTATTAGACTGAAAAAGTTAGACAGAAAAATGTATAATTAATTTAGAAAAAAAGTTCCCAAATATTTCATTTCAGTCAAATAACTATCTACTCAACATGTTTATTTTTAGCCAATAATGATATGTATTGACTATTTCCATTCTAAATATCTTGAGAACGGTTGCTTGTAGCGATTTTTACCAAGAGGAATTTTTTACGTATAAAATCACGGAAATGTATATATTTTCACTCACTAGTTTTATACAGGTATGGACGACAAGTTATTAATCTTCAAAACAGTTAAAAGACATGTAGGTAGCGCCCCCTACAAATAGGAGCCATATTGACATCAAAATCAAATTTCTCATGTCAAACTCCCAGACACCAATTTTCATCCAAATATTTACGTTACTTCAGGAATTATTTGGAAAAAATCGAAATAAAAATAAAACTTCTACACCCTGTATCACCGAAACTAAACATTTTAGGACGTACATTTATATGAACTTTTTAGTTATTTTTATCAGCAGAATATGTTGCCGAAGTTTCCGGAATACAGTTCGGACCACCCTGTAGAATGTAAAAAAAAACTATGAAGCAAGTTATGTATACAGGCCCCTGTGGCTGCATTGGAGTCCACTGCAGTGTAACCAACTCTTATTAAAAGACACATCAAAGAACCAATGCGAATTGTCCAAAATTCAAACAGCTGTCAAATTTGTGTTTGGTACAACTCTCAGTTGGTTCTTTGAAGTACTTTATAGTTCTGAGCATGGAGCTTACATTGTATTTTCTGTCATTTTTTAGAAACTGTCTGTCAAAATCTTCCCTGAATCGTTGGACAAATTTTACAGTCACAAATTAAGTCTGAATCATATGGATTTTTTTTTTATTTTAAGTAAAATTTGATATTTTCGTTAGTTTTTGGTTTGAATTATATTAAAAATTATTTAAAAAATATCCTGCTGCTCAGGTATCTGTCAAATGCAACATATAAAGAAATAAGAGAGCTAAAAAGTGGGTTTATTGGCTGAATTTTAAAAGTTTCCTTTTCAAATTTTGCATAAATATAATGTAAAGTAGATATTCCAATAATATATCTACCTTGTTATAAAGGCATGCTTAATCCAATCCACAAGTACTTCTGCAAAAAGTACCGCAAAGCAATCCACTAACAGTACCCATACATTATCGATTTTCCAACTGTATTCCCTTAGTGTTTGAAGAATGACAATAAAGAGAAGTATGACAAGATGAAATCGTTCCCTCACATCACTGCAAGACACTTGAAACAAATTGTTTTTGTCAAATTTCTTAAACACACTTCCCTTCAATTCTACAAACTATAAAAAACATATTACTTGATATAATATATATACAGGATGGTCCATTTTTCTGATAAAGCTCAAATATCAGAATTTCTTTAAAAAAAAATTGAATGAAAATCTCTAACTGAAAAATTGATATAGAGCTTTTTCAGGTGTCACCCTGTATATTCATTCAAAATACTTACATTATTAGACATCATAATTGTCAATAAGGCCTTGTTATTTGAATTTACCGCTACATTAAGTGTTGTAGCTTGAAATAGAACTAATATACTATGCAATACTAAAAACCTTTAAGGAAAATAAAACCACAAATTTTAATTAGGTTTGTGGGTACTTATTTATATTGTACCATGATGTCATTGTTAAGAACAAAGGCTAATAGAGACATATATTCTCCTGAATTGACCTCTAACATTCCTAATAAAAAAATACTTTTAAAAGTAAGTATTTATATGATAAAAGTTGATTTTCTCTATACCAAAACAACATAACATTATTGATGTTTGTTAGTTTGTGTATTTACATAACATATTTTTTAAATTATCAACATAAACATGAATACACTTGAGATAAGATAACTATTTAAAATATTTCAAATTTTTGTATTAAAAAAATATTACTCATCACATTTAAAGAAAAAAGGATACTGACATAAACAAGGACAAAAACTAGATGAGGAATAACACCCAGATGTTCCCGTTTTTTCCCTCTAGGTTCGGTAGCCGTCCAGAACAGTGCATCTATAGTGTCCTGTCCCAAAGAGCTAAACAGCCTATCTCCAATCTCCAACATGTTATAAAATAGATACAGTTTTATTACAGACTGACTTTTTATCATGTGGTACATCATATTCGTATCTAAACACCATAGAACAGTGGTACAAAAGACTAGAATTATGGCTTTTAATAGATCACAGATTTCAGCTGGTGTTAGAATCTTCCTGTTTGGATTATTTAAACTATATAAAAAAAAATAAATAAATAAAACAAGGATATACAAAATCAAAGACTTTTTACCCAAAACATTTAGAAAATGGTCTTGTAACAAGCGCCCACAACGCTAGAACCACTCGAACAGGCAAGAAAGTGTACAAAAAAAGGAAACTGTCAGTACAGTGCATGATGCCATATTGCATAAACTTCTCAACTTCTTTTGGTATTCTCATAAAGGAATAAATCTTTTCCCTTCTGGCACTGAAGCGTTCTTCATCATTTTCAAGCAGATAATCTCGTGTTACTTCAACTTGAAGGAACGAGAGAAGCGATGGAGATTTTGCTATAAATATATTGTCCATTAAATTATATCACACACAAATACTATATAATTTTCGGAATCTTAAAGGACATAAACGTTTTTTTGGCAAATCTCCATAAAACATACTACCCACCTGATCTTGTATAGTCCATATCACCTTTTTCCTTATACTCATTTCCAATTAAATCTTCGATCTTACTATCTTGCTTGAATAATATTTTGGTCGGCTGTCTAAACCTTATCTTTTTCTCGATGCCACTTACCGATTTTTCCTCCATACTGAACGATTTTTCTATTTAATTATAGTTCCATGTGGTCAAAGATCAAATGTAGACCATATCTCCTAATTATCTGATACTACAGTATATATTTAGTAACACCTATATTTACCGATGTATTCTGTGTTACAACAAGTTCTTGAATTGTAAAATACAATCACACGTACATTTTCTTTGGAAAATAAACATTTTCGCCGAATTTTATCACTGTTTATTTACTTGTCATTGTCATTTTCCATATGTTTTATTTGAAGTAGGCAACTAAAAATACACCTACTTTGTCTCATAACCTCATTTTACATTCAAAAACAATATTTTTTATAAAATATAGAAAATGATGATTTTCAGACGATTGTATTCAAGACAGTCAGTTTCCCATAAATATTTGAAGAAAACAAAACATGATCCTGGTATCAGGTCACGAAGTAGATTACTAGAACCGTCAGAAGATATTGAAAATGTGGACTTCGAAGAGCTAGAATCTGATTTTATGAACGTTCAAAAAAGTCACAAGGATCATGTTGAGGAAATGAAACAATGGCGCGAGAAAGAAAAATACTTAATAGTGAAACAGAAGTATTTTAAAGAAAAGTTTCCCAATTTTCTAACCTGGCACGATAAAGAACAGATACGGTATCTCCATAACACAGATTCTACTGAGTGGAGCATTGAAAAACTTTCAGAGAGTTTTCCAGCTTTACCGGACATAATTGAGGTTTTAAACATTCTATATTTGTTATTTTTAAAGTATTTTTTATGTGTATTTTTTAGAAAGTAGTTAAAAGTAAATGGACAAAGAAAAATGATCAGAAAATTGTAAATCATGATAAGACAGTTATGAGTAATTGGGCTGAATTTAAACAAGGAAAACTCAATAACCTCCCTGATGAATTAAAAGTTCATTTACAGAAGTTTTCATCCAGATCATTAAACCTAAAACCTTTCGATCCAAAAAATAATCAGAAAACAATTCGCCAGGCAAGTGAAAAAGTTGGAGAATTTTCTGAAATAATACAAAGTTATGAGAGATTAAAGAAGAATAGTGATGGTAGTGATCAAAGAACGAGGGAGTCTGAAAATATTAAGCCATTGGCAGAAACAAAAAAAATTAACAAAATTTCCAAAGATCCATATCCTTTAACGTTGACGCAATTAAAAGAAAAAATAAGATATGATATATCCAAAGGAAAAACACTGTCTGAAGATGAAAAAGTTATTTTAAATAATGTAACTATATCAAAAACAGATAATATTAACACTGTGGTTGAGCTTAAGCCTGAAAATGTCACTGACATTGTCGATCAAAGATATAAAACTAGCTCGGATAAAGTTGGCTTTGTAAAGAAAACAAATAAAGACATGTCACACTTGAAATACCCAGAAAGAATTATAATTCCTAAAAAAGCTTACGTTAGAGGTTACACTTACAAATTGAATGATTGTTACTACGATAGTGATGGTACATTTTTATATAGAGTACCCGGTATGGGATAAAAATAAATAATTTAGTTTTTTGTGGTTTCAACTTATTTATTAAAACAATTTAAAAATTGACTAGCTTCAAGCATACAAAAACTATACATACTGAAAGAAATGGTAGTGTGTAGCACACACAAAATATTGGGTTTCTCACACAATCCGTCCATAGTGTTAACAGTTAGTAACCTTAGATTTTGATGTAGAATTAATCTTTTTTAAATAAGTACTTACCCCCTGTATAATAAACGCGGCTTGTGTGAAAAACCCTGTATACTGTTCAAAAATAACACTTATAGTATATTAATACCTTGGTATAAAAGCATATTTACAAACTTATTTAAAGACTAGTATAAAACGAATATTTTAGATAAAAAATATCAATTTTAAATAACAAAAACAACAATTTTTGGCTTTATAAAATTCATAGCTCCTTGTGAGGCTCATGTCTATAAGTAACAGTGTTTTCAGCACTGCTTAGTGCAATTAGAGCAATAATGCACAGTATATTTTTCATTTTTAATAGAAAAAGTAAGAAGTTTTCTATATTAGATTGTAAGATTTTACACGTTTGTTTAGGTTTTGATGAAAAATATAGGTAAGAAATGTAAAAAAAGGAAAAATACTACTCTTCCCAACCTATACCATCAATTATTAAACAAAATATCAATACAAAAGGCGAATATAAGAATATAAATTAATTTTTAACAATAATCATTAACAAAAAACAGCGTTTTTTGTCATTTTTGAATTAAGGGGTTGAACACACTGACGACCAGGTCGCACCGGCCAGGCCGCTGCTAAAACCATGCTAAAACCATTAAATCAAATGATACCGCGCACACTAACGTCCTGGCCGTCCGTCGGTCGTTGCGACCAGTAGACTGCACTAAAATATTATAATTTTCTGCCGCTTGTTGCCGGTTTTCTTCCAAATTAATAATGTTTCAGATGAAATCCCTCAAATTCGACGCACAATATTTTATTTTCTCTAAGATATAGTGTTTTAGTGTAGTTTTTGCACACGCGCAGAAAATCCAAAGAAATAGTATACAGACTGAATCAAAGGGAAACTTAAATCTAATCCCTTCTTTTATCAAGGGTCTATTCTAGTAAAAATTCAAAATATTTTTATATGACATACTCTATTTATGGTTGGTATGATACCTGTTATTATACCTTCGAGTTTCGATGTTAAAAAATAAAAAAATCATATTTAAAGTTTTTCTACAACCACTTGTTTTTTTTTATTAAATTATTTTTTTTAGTTGTATTGTAATCATGTACAAGGAGGACAACTGTATGTTAAATATTATATTTAATTTAACGCTTTTCAAACAGGGTCCATTAGACTATATTTCTACTAGGTACATTATTTAAAAAAAAAAATAAGAGTAAAAGTAACTTAAACATTCATAAAAATAGAAGTATTTACTGTTGTAGATTCTCAGTAACAATAAAAAAGAGGAATTTATATTGTAAACATTGAAATAACTGGAAGCTAAACTTTCTACCTGCTTATATTTAGAGCCTAACATGTTTACTTTCTAAAGTCGATAGAGCTATCAGTAGAAGTCCATATCAGTAGAAAAAAGAAACAGAATATATCCCTTTTTGTCGGCTTTTTGTTCGGCCTATTTGTTCTGCTTGTTTGTGCGCGCTCGGTTCGTTCGGGCTAAAATGCTAAAGTCTGGACGCACCTTTAGGAACAATACTGTTTTTGTCCTTTATTGATATAATGCTGAGTTACATGTCTCACTCTACACATATTAAATTACATAGACGTAGGATGTAGAATATTCTGTTATGAAACGACTGATGGAATAGCAGGCATCGCGGATTTGAAAAACATGAAAATAACGACGTTATCGTGTAGTCGGGGCTGGAGATTTTACTTACTCCATTTACCACACCAGTATTTATTAACGAAAAATCCAAGAATATTTTAAATGCATTATTTAATATTAGAACATTTAATAAGCTCATGAATAGTAACTTCGCTTTTTAGTTAATTCGGATATTTTAACATTTCTGAAACTTAATTCTTTCTGAAACAATATTTTCTAATTGGTAAAACGTAAAAAACGTTAGATCTGACAACTCTGTTGAAACTGGTCGTTCATCTGGCTGCAGCTATAAACGCAAGACATCCGGCCAGCCGACGGCCAGGTCGTTGCGACTTGGTCGTCAGTGAGTTAGAGCCCTAAGGAAGATTTACTAGGTTATTCAAAATGTTTTTTACACATAAAAAACTAGTTCTTCACTTTACAGCCTTTTTACTACTCTCTTCTCAGATATTAACAATCATCTAATCCAAATTTTGACAACCTACTTCATTAAGGTGCGTATTCATTATCCGCACGAACGAACGAACGAATGTTCGCTAGTGGTATGGACGGGGACCGCACGAGAAGACCGGAGGCATTTGTTGGCGAACGCCTTTGATGTACCGACTCGAAACGGATGGTCGAGCGAACGAACGAACGAACGACCGCCTGCGTTCGGTCCCCGTCTAAATATACCGCACTTTCATTCCTTCGTTCGTTCGGATAATGAATACGCACCTTTAAATTATAGCCTAAAAATATGAACTCACTTCAAATTTAGACAACAAAAATATCGCTCGTCGCTTCTGTAAATTAGGTAATTCTGTGCTTTAACTGTACAAATAAATTTTGTATAACAATACAAACACTCCAATATCAAACTCCTGAAAGGTACATTTTTGTCCAGACTTACTCTAAAGTAATACCTTGGATCCACGAACTAAGATCAGTTTCGTCCTGACAATCTACCACTATTTCTTGAGGTGTGTCACTGTGCAGTATAATTTGTGCTGCAGTCCTACCAGTTAAATAAGCACCGTGAACTGTTGAGTAGAAGTTACTGTGAGTATGTTCACCGGCAAACAATAAAACAGGCTAAAAGTTTGAACTATATTATTTGTTCTTCAATAAAAAGCCTGTATTTACCTTTGTTTCGTTTTCATCTAAATACAAAGGTTGAGCCAAGCATTCTATATCAATTTGTGATGATCCCACTGCTACTGCTGTGTATGAACCTCTGGTATATTGTTGATTATGCCAAGTTGTACTAAAAAATATACTTTTTATTGGATTTTTAAATTTTTATTTTCTGATATTTACCAGACACAACTTTTTGGTTTTGGTATAAAAGGGTCATTTAAAAATTTCCTCAGAATCATAGTGCATGTTTCTATAAGTAAATTATTATCTAAAGTTTCCATATATTCAGCTTCCTTTCCAGATATCCATCCCAAAATCAAAGTTTCTGTTATTTTACTAAAAGAATATATTTTTCTATACCAGTTTTTGCTTATATCTTCACTTGCATCTTCTTCCCATAATAATAACACTTCTGTAATGCTAGGGTGCAGAAAAGGCCTTAAAAAATAATAAAAACTAAATAAATCGAAAGTACTATACTGAAGATTACCTCTCATATTCTAAAATAATCTTATCTACAGTTCCAAACAACAGCCTCTCAATAGCTTCCATCTTGTAATCAGGTAACAAGGGCTTAAATAAACTATTAGCTTTATGTTTTAATACTCCTAAAGGTATGGTACATATCACATGATCGGCATAGAATCTCTCGTTATTTTCACACACAATTTCAACATTGTAACTACTAGGAACAGTCCTTTCTTCAGAAGATTCTCTACTACAACTCGGATTACTATTAGAGTCCTCTACCACTGTTCTATCTGAGTCATCAGAGTCCGAATCATTACATGCATCTGCGGCTGGTGACTTCTAAAATACCACAATATAGTTACTTAAATCTCATTAATGAATATAAATAAATATAGTGAGTTCTTACTGAGTGTTTTTTATTACAGTTCCATTTAATTAATTTTACAGGATGCCTCCTATAAAGATTTTCTTTCGGAATAACACTCTCTAAAGGATGTAGTATTGAACTATAACCTTTTGGAAGTATGATGTTACCGCCTTGAAGCTCTGTATAACTCCCTACTTCCAGCAGGTCGATTTCATTCATACTATCACATCCTGAAATGCATGTTTCTCTTTTTAGCAAGCAGTCAAATAGTAATTCTTTTAAATGCCTTTCTGTTGTATCCTACAGATAAATTTGTAATCAATAATACATCAATTTTAATTGATTGCTTTTACCAACCTTTACTTTATCTAGATATAAATTAATTTCAAGTTTTATATGTTCACCTACGCTGTCTATACCGTCAGGTGGTTCATACTGAGAAATAAAATACTCTTCACATCGTTTCAAGAAACACAAATATGCCTCGTATATTTCTTGAAGGATTGAAAAAGGAACTTGTTTACCTTGTTCTGTTGCAGCTACAACCTAAAAGAAATCGTTATATCATCTATAATTAACAAAATACGTTTAATAAAACCATACTTTGTGAGGCTTCGGAGCAGCCAAAAAATCAACAAGTCCATGCTGCATAGCAAATTCGTACACGGGATTGCCTAAAACTCCATGAATCCAATTGGCCCCGAGTTCCACCTTTTCATTTCCCATCGGAATTTGAACAATGCGGCCTCCTAATCGGCCTCTCGCTTCCAAAATTTTGAAGTCGGTAAAATTGTTTTTGGTTAAGTGGAATCCAGCGCTAAGTCCGGCCATTCCGGCACCGACAATTATTACCTTTGAATAGTGCGAAGTTTTCGACGAATTGTCGTTGTTTGGGGGGATTTTCTCACCATTTTGTGCCATAATTTTTAACTAAAAAATATTGGGTAACATTTGTTTAAGTGCCATCAGCTGTTCGATGTCAAAATTTTGACGTTAAAATTGTGGGTTATGTTGACTTTCACTTTGAGACTTCTTAAATTTATCTAGGCATAATGCCATAAATAAATTAGATCATATATAAATAGTAATAGTTTGGTTGTACGGCCACAGCTCCAGGATTATCCGGCCGGATCATATATAAATCAGTACTTGACTGGCAAACGTAGGGATGAGCATTTAAAAAAAAATCTTTAGTAAAAAACTACATTGACAGAAGAGAATAAATTACATTTAAACATGTAAAAAATGTAGCTTTTTATACTCTGAGTTTTTTATGTTCTGTAGAAATTAATTGAAATTATTTAATGATATTGATCATAACAAAGGATTATAATATATTGATTTACCCTATAAATACGCGCAATAGATTTTGATGATGAAAAATTTAAAGAAAGTTCTTATAATTTTACTAAAAAATTACTAAAAATCAGTAGGTACAAATAAATGAAAATAAATCAAATGCATTACCTATTTTAATAAATAAAATTAGTAAAAGACACATCTATAGATATCATTTTAAATTTATTTTGTTGATTAAAAATGTTCAGGCATGGAACAACAATTTAAGTCCATTTGCTGGTTTATAACTATTACAGTCTTATTACTTTAATGCCAATATTATGAATTATTAAGTACATGTATGTATACATTCAAAGAGATCTTAGCAACAAGCGCATCAGTGGAGTTTTCGACTGTACTCTTTATTTTATTCCTTACTAAATTTGTTATAATCTTCTTATTTAGTAAAAAAAGTATTATAAATATACTAGAATTTATATTTCTTGGTTTTGTTTATCATATTTGTTAAAATAATATTGTTTTGTTTAAAGAATATACAAAGTAATTGTTTGTTAATAATTATTAAACTTGGACATGCAAAAAGTATCCCTTATATGTGTTATTTTATTTTTTACAAGGGTAACGTGGCTTATTCGATTTTTACTCACATTATTTTCTACATTGGTGAAGTAGTTTTTAAAATTAATGTTATAGAATTAAAAAAATGTTCATTTCTTTGATTAGAATTCTGTTTATTCTATTTTTCGTGAATTTAAACTTCAAAAATGTATTAGCACAAACTACACAGAATTTGAACGTCTGTAAGTAAAATTTTCTTATAATAGTATCTCTCTCTCTTTATTAAGATTAAAAAATCTTGTATAAATTTTGTTACCTATATAGTCTCAAATATATGTGCAGAATTTTTGTTATATGAAGTAAGATACCGTGGGTATCTGTATAATATAGTTTTAATCATTTTAAGTAATTTTTTTGGAGAGTTTGAGCTGTTTTTCTGATATCACAAAAAACTTTTGATTATAAGATTTTTTAATCATACCGTATATATGGTTTCTAGTGTTTGCCAATGAAGAAGGCAATACTGTAGCGGACAAAGCTGTCGATGTAGTTTTGAACTACGTAAAAAGAACTTCGAGACTTGGAGTCAGTGTGGACATGAAAAGAATTGTGGGGAACAGAACAGACTCACAGAATATTCTCAGTTCCTGTAAGATAATTAATAGATAATTAAATATACATAAATTAATTAACAATTATTGTTAAAAAGTTCATTATACAAGTTAACTCATAAAAAATATCATATGATCGAAAAAAAAACAGCGTCCATTTGGTTTGAAAAGAACGTTCTATGACATTTTCCATATAATTTTACATATAAAATGACAGCGATTATTTCAAAGCCATCGCTGACGCCGTTTTTTCGATCATATTGTATTTAAATTAATTATAAGAGTAATTTTTCTAATGTTATGGAAAATTAGAGTGATCTTTGAAAAATCAATTGCTCATAATTTCTGTCAGGCTGACTCTTATATCCTGCCTATGATCCTGCCTTTATCATTAATCAAAACTGACATTAATAAACTTATTTTCAAGGTTAATATCGAAATGAAAAATAGATTATTTGTGTCTGAAAGCTTTTTAACTTTTCCCTGTAATAAAAAAACAATTTTTGATAATTTTTATATGTCCATATTTAATAAATTACATATATAGGAAATGATCCCTTAGAAATTATTATTGACTATCGTTTCAAAGGCTGCACTAACGCTGTTTTTTTTTCGGTTATACGGTATTTTCTTGTAGTATGTGAGGCTTATCAACAAATGTTGGACAGTAACACACCACCGCATCTGGTTTTTGATGCCACCAGGTCCGGCTTAGCTTCTGAAACTGTCAAATCGTTTACAGCAGCTTTAGGAATACCCACAGGTATTTATAATACACCATCAAATTATTTATTTGTTTATGCTCACATAATATCAGGACACTCAAACATTGTCAGAGTGTATAAATAGAAGAGTTAACTCAAAGAAAGTACACAAATTTAGGGAATAAATATAGTATAACTAGTTAAAATAACATTCTTTTTGTATACTTCAGGGATGCTAATAGGATGATAATACCTAAAACCAGTCTGTCCAACGAGTCAGGAAAGATTTAGACAGAGGTATTTCAAAAAATGACAGAAAATACAATTTACCTTGTTAGAATGACAGACAACAACTGTTTCTATTATGGAACCTGTTGTTGGGCAGCCTTTTTAGTGCATCCAAGATTGTTATTTTTTAATTCATCATTTATTTTTATTTTTTATTATAATTTTTTTATTTTATTTCATTATTTCTGGATTATTTCTAACACGAAATGTATTTATTAAATATTATTTGTTGAATGTTATACTTTGTGTTGTCAAAATGTTGTTAGACAAATAATTACTGAAATAATAATAAAATAAAAAATTAAAGAAAAATATAGCATTATACATAATCTTCGAGAGTATGATTCTCAATTTGTATTTTAGTTAGTGCGTCTTACGGACAAGAAGGTGATCTACGCCAATGGAGAAATCTACAACCGAACGAATTAGAATATTTAGTCCAGGTTTCACCACCTGGTGACATAATACCGGAAATGGTCAGAACCTTGGTCTTGAACCAAAACATCACCAATGCAGCCATTTTATTTGATGATTCATTTGGTATAAAATTTATATTTTTATTATTTGTAAAAATAACAATTTTATTAATCATTAAACAATTTTAGTAATGGATCATAAGTACAAATCACTTCTTCAAAATGTCGCTACCAGACATTTAATTGACGAAATCAATCATGATACTTTGAAACTTCCCGAACAATTAGAAGATCTGGTTAAGTTAGATTTGAAAAACTTCTTTGTATTGGGAAGCTTAGAAAGCATTAAGCATGTCTTGGAAGCAGCAGAACAAAGAAATTTGTTTAACAGAAAGTTCGCTTGGCATGTATTAACCAAAGTAAGTCCTAAAATGTCTGTTTTATGATTTTAATCAATAAAATAATGAATAAATAACATTTTAGGACAAAGGAGACTTAAAATGTGACGTAAAAAATGCAACGGTACTTTTTGCTAAACCCCTGGTCAATGCAGCTTATCAAGATAGACTTGGTACAATCAAAACTTCGTTCCAGTTGAACGCAGAACCGGAAATAGATGCTGCATTTTATTTTGACTTGGCACTGAGATCTTTCCTAACTGTCAAGTAACTTCTTTTTATTATTTAAACAAAGGTTTTTTAATAATATTGCATATTTAATGAAATTGCTTAACAAAACAAATTTGGTTAAAACTGTTTTTTTTAACTAACTGAAGCTTATTATCAGTACACTTTTAGTACAAAAAATTATTTGTGTTAAAAAAAACTAATTTACATTTTGTACAAAGGGAGATGCTTTCTGACGGTTCATGGAAGAAAAACAACGTGACAAACTACGTCACTTGTGATGACTACGAACCCAAATATAGCCCTAAAAGATTTAACCTAGATATTCGCTCATATTTAACAAAGGTACTTATAGATGTACATATATTCTGACAAACGGATCTGAAGCAGCAAAAGGAATGCGGTCAAAAAACAATGTCAAGTTTCTCAATATAAAATCAAAATTGCTCAATATTAACTATAAATTTTAGTTCATTTCAGAAAATTATATATGCTAAGTATTTTTATGTGATTCTTGTTAGATATACAGGGTGGTCCGAACTGTATTCCGGAAACTCCGGCAGCGTATTCTCCAGATAAAAATAAGTAAGAAAGTTCGTATAAATGTATGTCCTAAAATGCTTAGTTTCGGAAATACAGGGTGTAGAAATTTCATTTTTATTTCGATTTTTTCCAAATAATTTCTGAAGTAACGTCAATATTTGGATGAAAATTGGTGTCTGGGAGTTTTTTGGCATGAGAAATTTGATTTTGATGTCAATATGACTCCCATTTATAGAGGGCGCCACCCACATGTGTTGTAACTGTTTTGAAGAGCAATAACTTTTCGACGGTACCTGTATAAGACTATTAACTAAAAAAATATACATTTCCATGACTTTTTACGTAAAATATATCTCTTGGTAAAAATCGCTACGAACATCCGTTCTCAAGATATTTAAATGGCAATGGTCAATACATGCTATTATTGACAAAAAATAAGCATATGTCGAGTAGAGTTATTTGACTGAAATAATAAATTTTACTGCGAAAAAATGATGATTAAACAGTTTCTGTTGAACTTTTGGCACAAAAAGATTTCAGTTTTAAGATTTCAGTCTAATAACTATTTGGTCAACATGTTTAATTTGTCAATGATGACAGGTATTGATAATTTCAATTTCAAATATCTTGAAAACCATTACTCGTAGCGATTTTTACCAAGAAACCTTTTTTATGTAAAAAAAGTTTTGAATGTATATTTTTTTACTCAGTAGTTTTATACAGATATGGATGAAAAGTTATTACCCTTCAAACCAGTTAAAGCATATGTAGGTGGCGCCTTCTACAAGTAGGAGTCATATTGACATAAAACTCAAATTTCTCATGTCCAAAAACTCCCAGGCACCAATTTTCATCCAAATATTGACGTTACTTCTTAAATTATTTAGAAAAAATCGAAATAAAAATGAAATTTCTACACCCTGTGTCTCCGAAACTAAGCATTTTACGACATACATTTATACGAACTTTTTTACTTATTTTAATCTGCAGAATATGCTGCCGAAGTTTCCGGAATACAATTCGGACCACCCTGTATAGACTCACCGGCACGTAAAACAGCCCAAGCAGCATTTGGACGTCGGGACAACGTTGTGTCACGCGACCAAACGTCGGGGCGCAACGTCGGCACAACCTCGTGCCAACCCTAGTCTGCACTAGTTTGGAGAATTATTTTTGGGTCGAAACGACGTTGGATACCGACGTTAGCTAGAAGCCTAATTTAGTACAAACTGCAACGTTGTTTAAAATCCTAATTCACAGAAATACAAAACTAATATGGCGTCTAAGTCGCGTTTTATCCTAAATTGGGATAATTATAGTAAAAATATTATTTTTATGATTTAGTTAGAGACATATGTCAGATGGCAGTGAAGGAAAACGAAACAAAAGTATTTAAGTGTGGAGGATGTTTGAAGATCATAATTATTGAAACACTTTAACCGACTCTGTAACTCGTTACCCAAAGCAAAAAAGTTAAACGCAAACAACTTTATTGATAAATGTATTGTTTCTACTTTGAAAAATACTAATGGGCCTTAAAATTAAAGAAGTTTTAAAAAATTTTCTTGAATTTTTTTTAGTAAAATGAGAATAATTTATTCGAAGTCGAAAAAATTGTTTCCGCGTGTTTTTTTAGGTCAAATATTTCAAGTTAATGTATTCAAAAAGCAGGAATTGCTATTTTAGGAACGAAACATTTTCTTATTTAACACAGAACAATGAAGTGAAAATTTAAAATTTAAGGTTATGGTTCAATACAGTTGCAAAAAGGTAGTGACTCGACGTCCTACCAACGTAAGAATAAGGAAATCTAAACAACGTTGGAATTAGTAAAACAGACGACGTTTGCATAACGTTGAATAGGTCCTGAAACTGACGTCGGAAAACTCTATATTGTCCAACGTTGAACTACGTTGTCCGAATCACCTAAAGATCACTTAAGCAAAAAAGGTTACAAGACAACGTTTATTCGACGTCGCAGAAGCTTCTACTTTGCTGTAGTACTAGTCCAACGTCGACACAACGTTATAAAAACGTTTAAATTTATTTTAATACCCAAGGTAGGGAGCTAACTGTTATTTGTAACTAATCCAACGTTGTGTTTAGTAAACATGTGGTCGCAAGTCGTGAAAATGCTACTTGGGAGACACCTTAAAATTTTGATTAATTTTATAGATTAATATATTTTGTTCTAGTGGGTCGATTTTGATGATGTTTTGAGCAATTTCATTGTCTGAAACAACAAAAGTTGTTTTAGATCCGTTTATCAGACTGTAATTTACGTTAAAGACACCATTTTGTAACATACATATTAATTAGGTCTCTGAAAATATTACGTACGGACCCTTCAACATTGCTTCGAACGGTATGAGTTATATGGAGTTCCAGATGGCTTTGGCTGCTGTGTTTATCAGAGCCGGCTCTTCGGATAAGTCAAATCAGTTGGGAGTGTGGCAGGCTGGTTTTGACAATAATTTAACTTTGACTAATGGAAAGGAAATGAAGAATTACACAGCTGATGTTGTGTATAAAGTTGTAACTATTGTGGTAATTATTTAATTTAAACGACTTTTTTTCTCAGTTCACGAATGATGTGTCTTTTTTAATAGAGTTCGTACATTCTATGGTTCATACCAAATAAACTTTTAGTAACGTGATTAAGTTTGACCGGCACAGCGTTGTCTACTTTTATATATTTTCTTTTAATCAAAATATTTTATTATACAAAAATAAATTAATTATAAATATATAAACAGTTATTATTTACATCAACAAAACTCACCTTCTTAGCAGCACTTAAGGGACATAAAGCGCCATTACTACCGCTTTCCCGTTCAAAATATTCTAATAAAGTTGCGATGAGTTTTTTACGGCTATTAAGCTATATCTTGTACACTTCCCACTAAAAAAGGTTCTAAAAAGAACAATATTCGACTGCAAGGTTTGCTAAAAACTCGTAATACAGAACTAAAGTGTCAAAACGAATAACAACATCAAGAAATCTTAAATAAATAAATGCGGTAACTTGACTATTTTTACAGCAGAGCTACCACCTGAATCCCCAGCGGGAAATTTAAATTCCAGTTAGTCAGTTCGGCGCCGAATGGTTGGCAAAAATGAATTTAAAAATCGTGCCCTCGATTACGTAACTAAAAATTTAATTGATATCAAATATACTTTATTTTTATAACAATTAATTATGCAGAAATAGTTTATATTTATTTGAAAGTGACAGACAATGTTTAATAATAAAATAAAATATGTTCATTGACCGACATTGTTTAGACTTTGAAATATTACACAAAATTTTTTGGTCAGATGGATCTCTGACCATAGTATAATTTATAACAATTTCATATATATGATTTGAAGATTTGTTTTTTGTAGCAACAGCCATTTATTGTAAGAGACGAATCAGCACCAAAAGGATTTAAAGGCTACTGTATTGATCTGATAAACGAAATAGCTAATATTCTACATTTTGACTACGAAATTGAAGCCGTCGCTGATGGAAAATTTGGCAACATGGACGAAAATGGCAACTGGAATGGCGTCATTAAGGTTTCCATATTATATTTATTTTTTACGTCATCATAATTTTATCATGGTTATCAGGATACTAAATGCACAGACAAACTTATAACACTCATGGGCATTCTGGCATTCTCTTTCTTTATGTCTCATATACTAAACGCCATTGGTGTTATCTGTTCTATCTTCTCATCATGCTAACATTCACACTTTTAGTTCAAACCAAACAAGGATGTTTTGTTTGATCTAAAAGAAATTATCAAAAAAACAACTGAAATAATGACGTAAAAAATAAAATCTGGTTTATACTGCCATTGGTATACAATAATGTTCGAATCATCATGTGACAGATATTTCTTGTTAATTTCCGGGCATTAATGTCCTACTAATGCCCTTGTTGCATTAAGTAACTATCAAAATACCATATCGTCGGCTTTATGACGAAAAGGCGTATCTCGATTTTGGCTACTTTTCAGGAGAGCAATTTAAAGAAAATCACTTACATTATTTGGCCAATAAATGTAAAGTCTTTAATTTTTTAATAGTGTTTTTGTATTAACACTTAAACGTAGACATTGAGGAAACGTTCTGAAGATAAATTGAGCGTAAATTCTAATAAATAATTTATTTTTAGTTTTTTAATAGAGATAGGCCTTTTTGTTATAATAATAATACATTTATTTCCGAACAATTAATATACATACGCCCATATAAAATAAATTTAAAAATGATGGTAAAGTGTTCTTAATAAGGAAAAAAAAATAATACAATATTCACATTATGGAATACATACAAGAAAATACAAAACATACATACAAGAAAAAATCTGAAAATCACCAAAAAATCAGAAACAAATATTTTTAAATAATTTTATTCGCGTTGGATTAGATCAACTGAAATTTTCATTCCAGAAGCAAAGACAATAATCAATTAAAATATAATACTCTTGTCTAGCTTATTTTAATAATATTGTTTTTTATACAAAAATACATTTTTTTAACTAATATATTTTTAGTAATTATTTAGTTAATTGAGGGCATTAATACAGGGCATTTAAGGCATTTCTTCATTCGTGCCTTTATGATACAAATAACTGTGGAATAACACTTTCTATTTTCCCTGTTCAATGATAACAAATTCGACTTCCATTCTACCTGTTTATGCTGGATGATGATAGGTACAATAAATAAAATTTTCCAAACATTGGCAGGGATGACAATGCCAATGGCCTGACAATGATAATGAGATGAAAATTATTGTATTTTTCGGGCAAGTTTTTGGTTCGCTAAAATGTTCTTAGGGAAATTATGATTTCGGGAAATTTTCCATTAGGGCAATTTTTGTCTCGTTGTTTCGCTTTCGATCAATTTTCCTTCGGGCATTTATTCTCGGACAATCTCTTGCATACCCGATACAGCTATGTGCAGAGTCTAGCTCATTCTAACAATGGTTTTTGGCAAAAAAAACAGACTCATAATCACACTGTAAAAGAGAACTGCTGCCATGATAGAAGTTTTATTTTGTCCCAAGCAACCATCAGAAAATAATTAGGTAGAATGGTGTGATTTTCTCTCGAATTGCATTTTCATAACTTAAAACAAAAGGACCTATCTCAAATTCCATCTTTCTTGTAGTATAACAATAATTGGTATAACAATTGATATAACAAAGAGCCCTATCTCAACATACGTCTGTTCGTCATAACGAAGAATTGTAGAATTTGAGATTGTAATATTGAGAGACAATATTGAGATGCGCAAATTCGCTATGTTATAATATGACCCATTGGGCATGCCATGACGTTGATATCTCAAAATCGCCAAAAATCGAGATACGCCTTTTCGTCAAAAAGCCGACGATATGATCGAAAAAAACCGCGTCAACGATGGCTATGAAATGAAGATCACTGTCATTTTATATGTAAATTTATATGGGAAATGTCATAGATCGCCATTTCCCAGTCAACTGGATGCCGTTTTTATTCAATCATACGGTCGTATCGGTATCATTACAGAATAATTTGTTTATAGGATCTGATTGACAAAAAGGCTGACATAGGTTTGGGATCCTTATCTGTCATGGCAGAACGTGAGAATGTCATAGATTTCACCGTTCCATATTATGATTTGGTTGGCATCACGATTTTGATGAAGTTACCTGAAACTCCTGCATCTCTGTTTAAGTTTCTGACTGTACTGGAGAATGAAGTGTGGTTGTGTATTTTAGCAGCATATTTTTTCACCAGGTAAAAAATAATAATATTCTAGAGTGAGTTTTTTCCTATGTTTTCTATGGTCAAGTCATGGCCAAGTCTGGTTTCCATTTAAAATAACATAAATTTGTGTCATGTGTCAGAAATGACAGGTTTTAGAAAAAAACGGAACACACAGTCTCATTAAGACTGTGATCATAACTGTGATTGTCTACAACCTATATATCTGAAATTTTTTTGTCTAAAATTGATTATAACGGAATTAGAGAATATTTTTGAAATAGCCGAAATGTTTTTTTTTCTAAATATCTAGTAAGCCATAAACTTTTTGAAAAGTCCGAGGGGCGCATAATTTTTTTACCGACTCTTCGATAGTTTCTGAGATATCCATAGAGAACATCTAAAAAAACTCACCCTGTATAAGTAAACTTAATACTTTGTGGAAACTTAAGTATTTCTATTTTTGCAGTTTTTTGATGTGGGTGTTTGATCGTTGGTCGCCATACAGTTACCAAAATAATCGAGACAAATATAAGGATGATGAAGAAAAACGTGAATTTAACTTGAAAGAGTGTTTGTGGTTTTGTATGACATCGTTGACACCTCAAGGAGGTGGAGAAGCTCCAAAAAATCTCTCAGGTATTATGCCATTAGCAAAATAAAACATTATTTTACCGCAATACGCCAAAACACTTACACTAACCATGTTAGCATCAGATGAACTAAATAAAACAAAACAAAAACAACAGTATTTGAGACATTTCATTTAATGTATATGTTACAGTGAAAGTCGGAAATTCAGTGATTGTTAACATACACTAAGAAATGCTAACAATTACGCATTAAAATAAAAATTTTAAACTGTACATAACAAATAATTTTGAACAATTAAGTTTTTCATTGTGGACAAAATTAAGGATGCCCGAATTTTCTTCATCTGGAGCTACTATTTTTTTCAAATGCTGCACTTCAAGCACATAGGTCAAGTCACAACTTTTTCTCTGGCATGCTTAACTTTTGTTATTGTTCTGTACCGCACAGCACTTTTTACAACGATAACAAATCAATTAAACATAACCGGAAAAAACAAAGCAAATTTGAGCCAGATGTTAACGTTGCCAGTGTTTAACCCATTTTAAGGTTATCCTTATATTGCCTATTAAGGCTATTATTTTATTTATCTTTATTTATCCTTAACATGTGGTAACTGCGCAAACTGAATTTTTCAATTTCACTGCTATCATCCATAGCATTCACTAGTAAAAGTTGATTTCAAAAATAGCTGTTGAACTTTTCCTGGAGTACGCTTAGCAAATCAGTGAATGTGAGCTTTTACTAGTAATTGTTAACAATCACTATTTCCGACTTTTACTGTAACATATATATTAATTAAGTTATGTCACAGGTATAGATATAAATTATTCTCGAACAATATACCGAAAAAGTATAAAACATAATATAAAACATATAAGAAATGTAGTTTTTTAGTAACTCTAGATAATAAATAAAGAAGTGTCTCCCATAACCTGCAAGATTGTGAGGTACATTGTGCTTAGTGAAATATTATTAAGTTTAGGTATTATATCATAAGAAAAATAATATTTTACCACAATACACCAAAACACTTACTTTATTTTAAACACTGTATATGCGTTTTGCTAACAGAAAAAAAAACAAAACAAAAAAGAGTTATTTGAAATATTTTAGTCAATATATGTTAATAGTTATTGTTACAGATATAATTATAAATTATTTTCAAACAATATACTGAAAAAATATAAAATATAATTATAAGATATGTACCTTTTTAGTAACTCAAAATCTTAAATAAAAAAGTGTTACTCATATACTGCAAGATTGTGAAAAGAAATTGTACTTAACCAAATATGTTGATTTTAGGCCGTTTGGTCGCTGCTACTTGGTGGCTATTTGGATTTATTATTATTGCCTCTTATACAGCAAACTTAGCAGCTTTTCTCACTGTCTCTCGATTGGATACACCCATAGAATCACTAGATGACTTATCCAAACAGTACAAGATCCAATATGCTCCAGTAAACGGCAGTTCTACAATGACGTATTTTCAAAGAATGGCAGATATTGAAGCTAGATTTTACGAGTAAGTTTTTTAATGTTATGTCCAAAATACAGAGTGTTTAAATGTTATAATAAATAATGTTATTATTTCGGAGCGATTTCAAATTGAAATACTTTTAGAATTTGGAAAGATATGAGTTTAAATGACAGTTTGTCTGACGTAGAGAGAGCTAAACTGGCCGTGTGGGATTATCCAGTTTCGGACAAATACACCAAAATGTGGCAGGCTATGAAGGAGGCTGGACTACCTCTAAATATAGATGAAGCTATTAAAAGAGTGAGACAATCCAAATCATCTTCTGAAGGTAATATCATGATGCATATGTTAAGATTATTATATTAAGAACATTCGCAAAGGGGCTGTCCAAACTGTTATTTTTAAATAACAGTTGAAACTGTTACACGTTCTTAAAGATAATACGTTACTGTTATTTATTAAATGAGCAAATAGAATATTATGATTTAATTTAATATTTATTAAATCAGTATGTCAATAGACATTTACAAACATAACATATGGTTGCTGTTAGCGCACTAGCTGTTATTTCATACCTGTTATTTATGGATGTAACAACTATTGAAAACTGTTATCTCTAAATAAGAGGACGTTAAATAACAACAGAGCTTGTCATTTAGAAAATGAATGCATTTTTTAAGTTTCGCATGTTTTAATTGTGTAATAATTATTGGTATAGTCAAAAAAACTATGCAACTGTTATTTCCAAAAACAGTTTTAATTAAAATAACAGGTAATTGAGTAACATCCCACTTCTAAATTTTCATATTTTTTAGGTTTTGCATATTTGGGTGACGCAACTGATATAAAATACCTAGAAATGACAAATTGTGATTTTACTATTGTTGGGGAAGAATTCTCGAGAAAACCTTATGCTATAGCTGTCCAGCAAGGATCTCCTTTAAAAGACCAGTTTAATACTGCGTATGTATTTTTAAATTAGTTAACTACTATCAACTGCCGTATTTTGGGTTTGTTGTATTGTGTGAATTTATTGTGTATTTTAATGTTTTGTTTTGTTTACGTGAATAAATTTGTTTAATGTTCTGCTGCTTTAAATGTTCTGCCAAAGAATGTTTTTATTAAAAATGTTATATATAAAGTAAAATGTAAAATTTTAAATAATTGCACTAGAAAATTTAACTTTTTGTGAGCCTCTCACGTCTCAAGTTCTGACACAGATTTTCCAGATTTGTGTACTGTGCATAAATACAATAATAATTATAAAATAACAAGAGTTGATACAAAAAGATACAAATAATCTCGACAAACTAAAAACTCAAATAAGTCAATAGAAAAGTTAAAGAAAACTGACAAAATTATTGTTTTTAAATTTGAACCATGGCGTTGTTTTTTTGGTATTTTTGTTTATTAATGTTAATGAGTTATCAGAAATAAAATTACTTGTTATTTGCTAATATTTTTGTGCTGTTGTTGCTATTGATGTACTGTGTCTTGTTGTTGTCTTTCATGTTTCAATGTGAGTACTGTACGCTTAATTGTAACGATTAATTCAGAAGTTAAATATTTCAGTATATTACAACTACTAAATCGTCGAGAACTGGAACGGCTGAAAGAAAGATGGTGGAACAAAAACCCAGAAAAGAAAGAATGCGAAAAAGCCGATGACCAATCAGACGGAATCAGCATTCAAAACATTGGAGGAGTTTTTATAGTGATCTTCGTTGGAATAGGCCTGGCTTGTGTTACACTGGCTTTCGAGTACTGGTGGTACAAATACAGAAAAACCTCAAAAATAACAAACGTCAACGAAGCTCCGAATGTCAAACATCACAAACCGTTGGGATTCCCAAAAGATTTCAACAACAAACCGAAGGATGAAGAGGGCAGTCTGGCAATGAAGCTGACCAAACTCTATCCAAAACCAAAATACTAAGGGAAAATCTAAACATTTTTAAAAGATATAATTTTACTAGAAGGCAAGAGTTAGTTCAGTGCTAGATGAAGAATTGGTTTATATATTTTAACAATTTTGGCTTAATATTGTAAAGATACAGTGTCACTCGGTCAAACGGAATGCATTCGATAATGAATAAATAGGGGTATATCCAGCAAAAAGTTTTTATACAGGGTGTAGCATGTAACAGTGACCAATATCAATTCTCTTACTTTAAATACAACAACCTGTATATTAATAATTTTTTTTTTATTTTTAAAAATATTCTAGACATATTTCATGTAGCTACAATCTGATCTAAGGGTACAATGTCCTGTAGAGCATAATATAGGATATGTAGAGGATATTGTACCCTTAGATTAGATTGAAGATGCAACTGTTACGGAAATAAAAGAAACGGCGTCAAAGAGGCATTTACTTAGCCTGTACTCTTTACTTTTTAATGGCGCTTCTGGCAGTAAGTAGTCTTAAGAAGGTTGTAATTTATTTTTGTTATTGAGTAAAAAAGATTTTTAAATGGTGTAGTTTAAAATTCTATAAAAATATTTTTTTGAAATATATTTGTGTGTCTGGAAACGTTCTATCCTTTTTTTAATCTTTCTATAATTACTGTTAATTTTCGAAGTTTTATGTCAATTTTTAAATAATGGCGTTTAGAAATTGACCTCAATAAAATTATTGTCGATTGTCATTCCCTAGCCATCTTTGACGCCGTTTTTTTTTTCGATCATATTGTTACGTTTTTCATCGGTTCCGTGAAAGTCACAATTTATTTAAACACTATTTATTTAACACTAATTAACAAAAACAATAACGATAAAAGACTTATAGAACTATTTACAAACGATTTATAACTAAGAATTTATTTTGAACTTTAGCGCGTCAACTGTACTGCTTATTTATAACTGCCCCCTGTAGGCCACAGCCGCCGGCTTTTATACCGACAGGTAAAGAACTCTAGAATAGTCCATAGATCGTTAGGTGCGTAGAGAAGGTTTTCGAATGTTCTCGTATGAACTAGTCCATTCCAGTGGGACTCGATTCTTCTCGAACGAATGAATCATTACGGTGTCTATTCTTTAATGCGATGTTAAGGTCATCTGAGGGCGGGACATATAGTTAGGTTAGGTCGAGTCCACACGAACTACCCAGAAAAATGGTTCATTTAGCAGAAATGCACAAAAATAACTCGATATACAGGGTGTCCCAATATTCTGTGAACAACAATTAACTATGCAACAACTACAAACTATGCGATGTAGCGTTTTTTTTATAAGAGACAAGAAATGTAGTAAATACTAGAGCTAGAGGGATTATTTTACGAAAAGAAAGTCTGTAGTCGGTGGAGTTGGAAAATATTTATACTAAAATTAATGTAGGGATGGGGGTAGTTTTCACCCTTCCCTTTATTTTTTTTATTTTAGTGAAAGCCAAATGTTAAAGCACTTAGCAAAACATAGATACCCAAAACCTCATTAAAATCGGAATAATGGTTCTTAAAATATATGAAAAAATGTGTTTCTTTTATTAACATTTTGATGCCCTCTAGTGGACAAACGAAGCACTTTTGTATAGAGGTAAATTGTGTCCAACGAACTTATTTTGATTCCAAAAATACGTAGTAGTTCTATATCCACGGAATATTGGACCACCCTGTATAACAGAGCGATAGAATATATTAAAAAAAAAGAAATCAATTTTATTTATCTTTTTTTGTTTATTTCAATTGATTTATTTTTATTACGAATATATATCCATTGGTATATTTAGATGTCGCGCATTTCTTTAAACAAACATGTTATACAGGGTGTCACGTAACAATGGCTAATAGCATCACCTCTGTTTGTTTATTATCAAATTTGGCTGATACATCCAATAAAAAAGAGATCAAAACATATACATTTATAATGCAAATTTATTTATATTATATAAATGTATTTAAATTCAAATATTTAAATTTTTAATATCATTTTAAATGGATAGAAGCAAAATGTTAATAAAGCAGAATTATTCAATTTTCTAAACTTTGGTTATATTGATAGAACATAAGTTGGAAAGAAAATAATTTGATTTTTTAAATTTTAAGCTCTAAGGATTTGAACACCTGTGTGCAGTTTGACTTGAACTTACACAACTTAAGTACCTATATCCAAAAAAATTTAGCGTAAACTAAGTTTTTGATCAAGATTTTTGATAATAATTGTTATTCTTTTAATTAAAAAAAAAACAGTTAAATAATATAACTACATAAGTGTACCTGTAGAGAATAAATAATATGTAGAAGCCTGATGTGTGACAAATGCACAAAATAACGCACAAATATAAAATTTATATTTTGTTGATAAAATATTTATAATTATAGTATATTAATAAAGGTAGTGGGAAATAGGTAGTCCGTACTTTATGTTACAGTACCTACTTCTTTTGTACGTACAAAATGAAATAAAGAATTAATAAAAAACATTAAGTTTTTTTCTGAATTACGTGTGTTGCAGATCAAGAGTGAATAAAAAAAATGTAAAATGTGCATTATGTGTAAAATGACCGTCTGTCCGTCTGAAGACTCCATTCAACTCTTGACGTTTCTTACGTCAAAACCAACTGTCACTGTCGCGTGTCGCATGTCGTTTTACGACCTTGAAGTTTTACTCCCAGCGCGCGTAAAAAAGTTTCACTTCTGCATATTTAAAAAAATATAGAAAAAAAAATAATTTTTTTCTTTTCTGATTTTTTTTATACATTTTTTGTATTATAAATCATTAAAGAAAAAGACGAAGAAATAAGTAAGAAACACTAGTTCTATATTCATGTATTAAATACGAAGGGAATGTCATGGTAGGAATTTTAACACTTTTTGTCTGATTTTTTTTGATTTTATTTTTACAAATTTGATTTTTCGTTGATTTGTTGCTCTTTTCTTAATTTAGTTTTAAGTATTCTTTGCTTAGTTTATAATTGTTTAATAACAAAAGTTAAGTAATTTAAATTCAAGTCTTGTTGAAACGTTTATAATGACTGTATTTTGTATTTAAAAAGATTTTTATTTTAGGATTTTAAAGCTTATCCAGCGAAGAGTTCTTCAACGTCTCACAGACTACTGGTGGGAAATGAATCCCAACAGAAAAGCATGCGATATTCTGAGACATCCCTCGCATTCAGAAGCCAACCATATTGGTTTAGGAAACATTGGAGGCGTATTTATCATTATGTCTTTAATGATTCTCTCGGGATTTTTATTCTTACTATTTGAATATATTTTGTCTAAATTATGCTGTTGCAGTATTAGAATAGAATTTAACAAACGAGATAGGATAAATATTTCTTAAAAGATTTGATCTGTGGTCAGCCTAGAAAGTATTACAATCTTATCCTCTGCATTTAGACTTATGGCACAAAATATGTCTGAGATGTAGCTGGCGTTACCGTTACATGTCCGAGATTTAGTTTAGCTCTTTTTAAGCAGTCTACAAAGTTGGTGGTTGCCGGAGACAGTGTTGCCAGAACTACGAATTAATCCGTATATTTACGGATTTTGGGTACAGTACATTAATAATACAGCTTTTCTATCATTAATATTATATGATTAAACAATGAACGTGTCTGAGTTGGCTTGGAAATAAAGATCGCTGTTATTTCATATGTATATAAACCAAACCACTTTTTTCGATCATACAAAATATTCAGTACTTATCTATAAAAGAATGTTTATATTTGTTGTTTATTCTATATTTAACACGAATAAATTTTCAATACATAATAAACGCGGATTTTTCATCTAAAGGTATTTTTGTCAAACGTATTACAGATATTACACATTTTAATATGGCAACACTGTCTCTTTCAGTTCCACAGCGTCTTCGATATGCATTCGCTAGCCGAATTAGAGAAAATGAGTGTTTTATGCGTTGGCCGCATAACGAGTAGAGGCTCCACCGTACAGTACTTGAAACGTAAGGGGAAATCAAATCAAATCAGCCTTATCACGAATTTGCCCATTAGGTTGCGTATCTTCCCAATTCCAAGCCTCTTTGACGCCGTTTTTTTTTCGATTATACGTTAGAATAATGGAACTGATTGCAAGAGATAAAAAGAGAAATAATATTAATCACGGATAGGCATTTAAGCATCTGTCAAATTTTGACGTATTTTACGTTGTTTAAAAAATACAATTAAAATAAATTAAATAAATAAATGCCTTAATTGTCAAAGAAATTTATAATTTGTAGACAAAAGTAAAGTAAACAAACAAAAGAGAAATACAAAACAAGTATACAAATTACATTGTCAGTCTTATTGTTTAAAATAAACATTTATAAATGTTTACAATGTCAAAGAATAAAAAAAATATTATTAAAAAATATTTAATAAGTTTATAGTAAATATAGTAATAGCAAATATTAGACCAGTGCTTACAAGATCAAATTCGATTATCAACATATAAATCATTTACGGCGTAGAAAGCCTTGTCTAGTAAATAAGATTTCAATGCTTTGCGAAATGAAGAAAATGATGTTATGGATTTGATTTCAAATGGCAGGTGATTGTGCATTTTTTTTGAGTTGTATAATATTGAACTTTTAACTAACTCTAAACTCTGAGCGTGGGGTAGATAGATAAAGATCTTGCTCCGCGTTCCTGAGTGGATAAGTGTGAGATGGCCTTTACTGAGAAGCTGATACATGCATGGATTTATATATAAATAAGGAAGTGTTAATATTTTTAATTTTTTAAAAAAATCCTGGCAATGAGTTCTGCTGTTTAGTCCTAGTGAATATCGAACAGCTCTCTTCTGGAGCTTGAAAATGCGGTCAAATTTAGTCGCACAACACGTATCCCAGAATGGAACGGCATATCTGAGGTGCGACTCAAAAAGTGCATAATAAACAGTTCTAGCTACTGATTGGATTAAATCTCTTCTTAATTTTATTTCTAAATGAACCATTTCAGGCCCTGTTGATCTAAAGTTTTCATTTTAAAATATTTTAAAAACCTTGCTATTAAATGTGGATCACGCTGTATAAAAATTGTTTTGCTTGTACCTTCATACATACACCAGTTGCAGAAAAATAAAACAAAACACATATTCAAAATAATGAACTTACATTTATTAAAAAAAACGTAATATATACACACGAGAATGTCATAAAATAAAAAAAAACTACAAGCGCACTCACTGCATTGTGTACTATTTCGTGTCTAGTAAAAAAAATAACACTTTAATATACAGTACTTAAATCTAGGGCCTAGTTACAATATAATAAATAAAGTATTTTCAAAAAACAAAAATCACAATATGTCCGTCTACTTTACTAAAACTGCGTCTACTTAATCTACTGTAATTTAAATAAAAAGGTATTGTGCAAAAACAACTAGTGTGTTTTATATTGCTTTTTTAATACTTTTAACTTATCTGTAGATTTTCCATCTACATAAGAAAAAGTATGGTGACAAACTCTAGCTTCATTTACTACTATATCTTTGTACAAATTCATTCTTTAATATTATAACAAATACTTCAACCACTACTGGCAAGATATAGCACAAAATATTCACTAGAAGTAGCACTAAATGTTTATTAAACTACAACTTATCAAACATAGGATGATATTTCTCAATGAAAATGTCAATTCATTTCCTCCAGCTGTGGCAGACAATATCATCATATATTTGACGAGCTGTAGGTAAATAAAAACGAATAATTTAAAGTTCTATGGTCTGCGTTGGGTCAGCTTTTCCAACTTGATCGTTACTTAAATCGGAATCTTCTATTTCGATTTTGATGTTTACCAATTCCTTTTCTAGAGATTTGCACCTCCTGTATATCTGCACGTAGTTCATTTGTAGCTGTCTTTGATATCTGAAACAGTGTAATTTATGTAATTTACGCAATTCATACAGGTTAACTCTTAAATAAGTGCAAATATTTTCAGGGGTGGTATATTTCGACCCCAGGAACACGTCTATGAGGTTTTTTTCGCTAAAAAAGATGTTGAAAATCGTGCATTTTCTTTTAAGTTTCCCTGTATATTTTTCGAAAACTTTTTAAAACTGCCTGTTCACTAGAGGTGTGTAGTTCGTGAGCGGATTAGTTCCAATGAACTATTCCGACCCCGGAATGAAAGGAACTAGTTCCTGGTTTCTCAAAGAACTAGTTCCTCAGGACCTATTCCGGGATCGAGACTGTAACCGATATAGAATAATATGCGACGGCGACGGATCGACGAGCGCGCGTTGTCCAATGATAGGCAGGAGTGGGGAGTGCCAGCCGTATGCCGTATGTTATCGGATCCGGACCTAAAGGAACTAGAGGAACGAAATAAAAGACTAGTTTACGTATGGATCAGCCAGCGCGATTGATGCTAGACAGGCGTGGGGAGTGCCAGCCGTATGTTATCGGATCCGGACATAGAGGAACTATTAAAAGACTAGTTCACGGGAATGTATTCAGTCGGCAGATCCGAGATATAATACAAGGCGACGACGATGTATTCGACCTTGTCTATTGCCACAGCCGGCGCGGCGTTATTACCACAGAAAATTGTCGTTGATACTGTTTTTGATTTTTAGTTTGTTTTTTAAATATTTTATGGGAATGTTTCAATTTAGGTCCCTAAAATTAAGTAATATCTTATAAAACGGAGTAGATATTCTGAATTTTTAGACAAAAACAAAAAGTTTGAAGTGAGGAAAAATGCAATTTTTCGTAAAAATTTTTTTATCTGCAATAAAACTTACCTATATGTTTTTAACATACACAATTACACGTCTCGTTATATCTCCGTACATTATAAAAATTATACAAATCATACTGTGAATAGTTCTGACTGACAACGAAACGCATTAGCAAGCAAGGGGGATGTCAATGTTAGTCGGGAACTATTGTGAACTAAAGACCTAGTTCAAGGAACTATTCCTCTGGAGGAACTAGAACTAAGGAACTAGTTCCTCCCAAGGAACTAGAATTCCCACCTCTACTCTTCACCGCAAATTTTCCCGTGGTATAATTTCTTAATCTCTGATATTACCATAGTTACGGCTTTACTCTATGGTTATGGCAATAAAAGGGATGCAAATACAGAAAAAATCCGGTGGCTCTCAAAATTTTTTCAAAAAAATTCATTTTTTTTTAATTTTCAAACTTAAATAACTCGGTTATGTTGGCCTTATCTGAAAAATGGAAAAGAGAAAATACATATGTTTCTTTAATCGATATTTACCAGCCCTGAAAATACTTGCACTTATTTAAGACTCACCCTGTATAAAGGATACAGGGTGGTCCGAACTGTATTCCGGAAACTTATTCTCCAGATAAAAATAAGTAAAGTTCGTATAAATGTATGTCCTAAAATGCTTAGTTTCGGGGATACAGGGTATAGAAGTTTCATTTTTATTTTGATTTGGTTTGGTTTGGTCCTAAGCGAATATTAATTTACCTTAAAACCTTCTCTTTTTCTTGAACCCATATCAATTTCTCTCTAGCAAACTCCTTGTTCTTCAACTGCAACTCTTTCCGCAGTCTGCTCACTTCGTTGTCCTCGTTGAAGTTCTCTATGTACTCCCCGCTCAGTTTCTGAATCTCCAGGTCTTCCAGAGACATACTGTCGTCAGAGTTCTGACCGTTCTGCAGATCGTTTTGCAGGTTCTGAGTTCTCAGAAATCGACCGGGTTGAACGTTGCTGTAGTCGTTCAGTGAAAGATCTGACAGCTCTTCGCGCAGTTCTTTAATTTCGGCTTTCAGTCTTTCCGTTTCTGTTATATCTTCGAACCTAGAATCATATTTATCACATTATTCTGTATTTTATGACATGCATTTCTTTATTAAAGTTCAAGGTTACAAAAGAATAATTTTACTAAAAGAATCAATGGACAATTATGATTTTGTTTGGTTTGATTTGGTTGGTAAGGTCCACTAGAACAAAAAATAATACATTTTAAAATACATCAAAATTTTATGGTTCCCATTTTTCGTGCCGGTGAGTGTATTTTAGTAACGGTTATCTTAGATCGCTCTGTATATTTAAATACGTACCTTGCTTTGTCAATACTTTCTATGGACTCGTATTTCTTTAACTGGCACCTAAGACTCTCTATTTCTATTTTCATATCAGCAATCTCATTCGATTTTTCTACAGTATCTGCCCGCTGCTTCCCCAACTCATCCTCCATATCTTCAAACTGCTGTTGCAACTCTCTATAATCTGTTCTGAGCTGTAAAAGCTCTTGGCACTTTGTGGTTTGTTCCGTCTGAAGAGATATAAGTTTATTTTTCAAAAAACTTGTTCTATAAACACCAAAATCACTTACCTGGTACTCTTTAAGTTGCGTTTTAAGCAAAGACATCTCACCGGTTCTTTGGCAAAGACCCCACTCGGTATCCTCCAGTCTGCTTCTTAGAGCACTCACTTCCTGTTTCAATTTTTCGTTTTGAAAATTCGTTCTTTGAAGTTCTCCTAGTAACCCACAGAACTTATAAACTACTTTATTTTTAGAACAACTATTTAATAATTACCCGTAAGTCTTTTTTTGTCCTGATTCAGTTGGTAGGACTGCATCATCAGCATCTGTTCTAGCTTCATCGCTTTCTGAGCACTGGCTCGTAATCTGTTGTCGTGAAGGGTTTTAAGCCTATGGATTTCTCTTTCCCATACCTGGAAATAAAATTCTAAATTATATTGAGGAAAAAATATCATCTAAAGATACTAAACCTTTTCTTTTTCTTGATAGACTCGAAATATGACTTGTTCATTGTGCTCCATGGTTTGTCTGAGGTAGGCCAGCTCAGAATCTCGATCTCTGAGGGCTGCCTCCAGCTCAGACACGCCAGAATCGCTAGGTGAGGGAGTAAGATCTAGAAGGCTCTCTACGTTGGACGTTGATAATCTGTATGAGCCTTTATGTCTAAAATTTATGCAAAAAATAAATAAGCTTCAACAAACACTGAATTTTTACTTACAATAATGATCCATCCAAATGGTTGTGAGGGCTTTTCCTCACACTCTCCAAACTGTCGTACCCGATCAACTTATGGCTGTGAGGTATAGATGGCAACGAGCTCATGGCTAAAGGAGGTGAGGAATTGGTTGAAGTACAAGAAGATCGGATCTTCCTATCCAGAGAATAATTCTGGATGGTTGGTGTCCTATGTAGATCACTTGTACCTAAAAATTGACAAATTTAGTTAAAGTTGGAGAACTTTTGATGCTGATGATAATGCTAAGTCATTTGGTGTTTTGTGGAACTCTTTTTTAAACTAATGATTCATAAATGGTACTAAAGCTAGTGTTTTAAGGCAACTTACTTCCGTATAGCGTTAGTCTGGAACCAGGCCTGGTTAAAATGGGCGTGGAACTGTACCTATCACTGAACCTCGAGGATGGAGTCATATTTGGTACTGATGGTTTGAATGCTATGGGACGAATAACCACTTTACCCTGAAAATAATATATAGTATTATTAATTAAAAAAAGGACTATCGTTGAAGGATATTCACTATAAAAGAAAAAGTCGTTCTTCTTTACAGGGTTGTTCACCACATACAACACGGAGTACTGTAGCTAAACGATTATATTTTTACAAATTGTAAGTTTTGGGACTATTAGAGCTACAATTTAAAAATAATTTTACAAGATACAGAGTTTCCCAAATAAGTAAAAAATATTATAGTTGTTTTTTTTAACGAAACACCCTGTATATTATTCTATTTTTAGATTCTACGATTGAAATAAAGGAAAATTTGATTAAGGTTTATCACACTTAAACCTTGCCTTTTTTGAGATATTTTCAATTTTGTGAAATTGCAGTAAAAAAATTAAGGTTTCATTTCTCGAAAGGTATTAAAGGTTTTAATACTAAATATTTACTGAAGTTTATTTATTGATCAGATATTGTGTTGGAATAATAAACATTATACTACCTTTTACAGAGTATCCAAAAATGTATATTAAATAATTACTAGCCTTGTTTATATATTCTTTTACTAGCTTTAACGGCAATAACTTGTTTAATGTAAATTGAAAACCCTGTATATTTTACGATAGTATGTTGCACAATTTAATTTTCTATCAAATTGTTTTATACCATTTTTTACCTGCCTTTTCAAGTTTTCGTAGAAAATGCTTTTTCTTATAATTATTTAGACCTCATTTATCATTATACCCATGGACTATTGACATTTTAGATGTTTTAAAGCAACATATGTACAAAATGTACAGTTGGTGAAAATAATAATATTGCAAGCCCATTTGTTTACAAAAAGAAAACTATTTAAATTTTTGTAAGAGAGTATACCAATTAAATATACCACCATTATTTCCGCCCAAAAATTAGTTAATTACATACTTAATCATTTTTTTAATTAATAAATTATTCTAAGTAAATGTGGATTTGACTCAGAAATCAATATAATAATAAGTTATGTAAATGAGCGTCTCTATTGTTGTAAATAAGCATTCGTCAAAAAATTAAATAAAATTTATAAAGAGTTACTTTTTACCACACTGTCTAATACACATACAAAATTCAGTCTTTTAGTATTTGGAGCAGTTATGTATATTATTAATCAACGTAAATAGTCAATTTATGTATTTTGAATACTGGGAACATATTAATTGGTCCTCTTTAACAAAAAATATTTAAGTTTTTTTAAATTTTTTAATGAAATAAGCGAACTAAAATATATCACAATATTAGTATCTGTGCTCTTTGAAAATATGTTACATCTGTAAAAATAATATAAAATGTCAATATTCCATGGATATAGTGATAAATGAGGTCTAAATTATAAGAAAATGAATTTTCTACGAAAAGTTGAAGACATAGGTAAAAAATGGTATAATACAATTCGATAGACAATTAAATTGTGCATCTGATTCTCGTAAAATATACAGGGTGTTCCGTTTAAATTAAACAAGTTATTGCCGTTTAAATCTAGTAATTATTTAATATAAATTATTTTTAGACACTCTGTATAACTGTCGTAACGCTGTATGATATTATCAAATTTTGTATAGATTCTTTAACGCATAATCGTTGGCTTTAAGCTTAAAAAATGTTAAAATAAGAGCAAAAAAATTTCTGTAATGAGTTTAAGAAATTCCTTAAGATTATGGCAAGTCGTTTTTTTTGTGTTTTTTTTTTGGAATACTGAAATTCCGCACTCTCTTTTACAATGACCGTTGTTCCTTTAATTGAACGAACAGCACCGGCTTAAATTTATTGGTTTGTTGGGCCTTTGAGTGCAAGATTTTTAACGAGGTGGAATATAATTAAAGACTGCTACATGGTACCCAGTGGTTTTATAAAGAATCTTTCGCTAACCGTCTACAAAACGGTTTTTTCCTGTTATTTTATTTCAAAAAAATATTTTTCATCATGTTATCATCATCATCATCATCATTTTTAGCATATTCAACCATTTTCCCATTTTCAATTATGGTGTATATAGCCTCCCTCGCCATATTTAGATACTCTTTTCTTTAGATAAAGAGGCATTCTAGATTTGAGTATGATTGAGTTTCTTCCATAAGTACTCAGGAAATACTAAGTATAAAAATATACATATCTTTATGTAACAGAAATATGGCGAAAAATCTTCATAGTTTAATGAAATACTATAATCATTAAATACACTTTTTTAATTAATAAATGACAGCCTAGAATTTTTCTGTTTATATCTGGCTTGTAAATCTTGGGTATTTTTGTTTTATAAGTAAAGTTTGTATATTTATATTATTTGTTTATATGGCTGTTATTTTTAGGAAAATGTTTGTAGTATGTAGTATAAAATTAAAAATTAAAACTCTTTAGTTGCTCCTTAGTTGCAAAATATAGTTATTTTTTATACAAGACCGAAAAGATTAATTAATGTCGGAAGACGATAATGCAATTTTATCGTCGTGTATAAAACAATATTTTATATATGAACATTTTTAAAATATTCGAAATTATTTATTTCAATAAAAAAAAAAAAAAAAAAACAAAAATAATTTTGTGCTGAGTTGGCGTTCGTTTCTTAATTTGACAAATAAATAAAAACTGTCTCTTTGGTCTGGTTTGATCAATATTTTCAGTTAACGGTAGTTGCAGATTGAATTGGGCAAATGACAAAGGCAATCGAAAGCATTACCAACAGTCATAGGCTGAGCGTGGCATAAGGCTAAACTGTAATCAAAATAAATGCGCATATTTTCAACGAGTTGTAACTTTGAAAAAATGGAATTCGATAGTCTAATTCATTCGATAGTTCCCATCGCTAGTTTGAAGTACATTCTCTGTTATTCGCTTTTTTCTTAGAATTGAAGGAAGAATTGAAATATGTAATAACATACAGACGGTTCTATTAAAAAAAATGAAACTTTGATGTGCCACGACTTTATGAATGAGCCTGTATACTTAAATTTATTACTCGCTAATAGATATTTAAAAATTCTATAACTTTTGTAATTAACTTTTTGCGGTACCTCCTATATTTTACCTAATAATCGACCGTTTCCATACATAAAGGCGACCCTGTATATATTTTATATGAAATTTGGTGCAAAAACGGTAACTGTTCCAAAAGAGTTATTATCAGATAGTTCATTAGGGCAGAGAGTAGTTTTTAAAAAAAAAATTATTATAACTTAATGGATACAGTATTTCAACAAATATTAAAACAAAAAAAACTAGTACTTATGTAAATACATTTTTGATAGGTGTATGATTTTTTTAAAGTATCCTATAATCGAGACAATCACGTTTAAATCTTGGATTAGTGCATCTGTTGTTTACTAAAGTTACGAAGCTTTTTAGAAATAAAGATTCTGATAATCTAAAAATATGTTTTTTAATCTGTCTCCAGATAAACTGCACAAACTGTACGTTATTAACTGAATTTTTAGTTTAACCCTGGTTTACATGACAATGAAGAGAAGGAAATTGCCAAGTTATATACTCAGATATAAAAAAAACGCTACGGATTTTTTTTTTCGTCAAGTTTAAAGTGTTATATTTTTCTTACTTTTATCCTTATTTTCATGAATTTTTTAGCATACTGTATAACGGATACAGGGTGAGTTTCCTACGATGTTCTCTATGGGTATCTCGGAAACTACTGGAGATAGAGAGTTGCTTAAATGGGGAAAGAATTGCAGTTTTGTGGGGTTATAAATATGCGCCTTTCAAACTTTTGAAAAAGTTCATGGCTTACTAGATACTTCAAAAAAATTTTTTTTTTGGCTATTTTAAAAATTGTCCCTAATTCCATTATAATCTATTTTAGACAAAATGTTTTGAGATAAAAATTGTAGATAATCACATCCCTAATGAGTCTGTGTTCTCTGATTTTTTCTAAAGCCTGTCATTTTTGATATATGACACAAACATATGTTTTTTTTAAATGGAAACCATAGTTGGCCATGACTTCATAAAAAGCGCCATCTTTTAAGCTTTTCAGCGATATAAGCTATAAGTTTTTTTTTTCGAAAAATTAGCCCAATTCTAATCATAATTAAACAATTTCACTTAGTTAGCCATGGAAACAAGTTCAATCGTCGTTGCTCTCAGAAATGAGACTGTCACATCCAAACTTTGTAAATTAAAATAAATAAAAATTGCAAATATGATTTTTTTATACGACTTTTGTTTTAAAAAATTAAAAGGAAGTTATTACGAGTAGAAAAAATATTGTGCTGGGTTGGCGTTGGTTTCTATGTAATTTGACAAATCAATAATGCTGTCTCTTTAGTTGTCAGTTTTGAGTCAATATTTTTAATTATCTTTCGTGTCGATTGCTGATTGAATTGGAGCCAAATGGCTCAAAACGAAATAAGTAAATTACCAACAGATATTCAGGCTGAGGCGCCAAACGTCATATCCAAACTACTTCAATTTAAATCCCAAATAACTTATGAAAAGGAATACAAACATTTTCAAAAATGGAAGCAATTAAAAAATGTGCGAGAAGAAATAAAGTTTTTAACCTATCCTCGCTGAAAGTATCATTTAATCTACCCTTGCGGTTAAAGTACTATTTTATCTACTATTTTTGATAGATATAAGGCAATTTTAACAGTTGCTATAAACAAAAAATATAATTTAAAAAAACTTCACCAAACATTTTTCCTTTGCGTTTTTTTTGCAATCTGAGTGTATTTTGAACTGCTCACCTGTTTCCATGTCCTGGCCTCCCCTGTCGTGAAATGATCTAACTTCTGTTCGTAAAACAAAGTCGACACATTGCCCTGTTCCAAAGGAACAAGATCCGTCAAAAGATTCAAATTCTGTTTCCTCACTCCCAAAAAACCTTCCGACTCGGGAAAGCTATCAAAGAAAATGGTGAAAAACAGGAAAGACGTCACGACAAACGGTTTTCCGCGACACATCGTGAGGATGTGCTGGCTGTGATTGGATTTTAAAAACCTTGATACTTTGTCGGGCGTTATCTTACAAAATCAATTTAACTGATTAAGAATACGATCTTTTTTTATTCAAGTTTTAATTGTTTTATTGCGCCATAATTATGAAAGAGGATTTAGATTATTCGGTTTTCTAATTTGTATCTAAAATGTTAAAACACGGATTTGTGGTGTTGAACTGAAATATTAATGAAAAAATATTTAATATTATTTTTTAGACAAAAATTAGAAATTTCTCTTTATTGTTTAAATACTTATTAATTTAATTGTAAAAGCTGACATTATATTACATCTACATTATACAAATTGAACAAAAAACAAGGGAGACTGAGACGAAGAAATCAAACGCAGACGTCCGAGTATAGGCGGTATAACATTATATTATACAATCCTCAGACCTACCATCTTTCTGGGGAAGAGGAGTAGTAAACTACTCCTAGTTGGTCGGGAACGTAGCACAAGAGAACTATCGTCGCGGTCCTCACTGTGCCATAGCCATCTCGTGCTACAGTTGCAGCCAGGTGGATGACACTTCTTATGGGAGAACTGGCAATGGTTGAAAACTTGACTACAAGCGATTTTCTAGGAATATTCATTACCGATAAATTATTGACAAGAGTGACAGATAAAACCTTGACGTTCTTTCAGTATTCCAGTTCATCTCTTTTTCTTTCTAAAGTGTGCGTTGAAAGGAGACAAAAACAATTTTTGGTGACCCATAATTTGTTATTCGAACACCACTTTTTGCAATCTTCATTTTACAATGGTGATTTTGTATTTTTGAACTTTGTTTTGTGTTTGATTTTTTAAGATCTTTATAAAGGTAAGGTTTAAGTTAAAGGTCTTTGATTTATCTAACAATTTTATTTAATAATCCGAGAAAGTGAGGTGAGGTAACCTAACCAAGTCCAAATGTTTGTGAATTTTATTTTTTAACAATGTAATATTTACAACGCCATATATTTTTACAAAAAAATATTGATCAACTCCATATTTTTGTACATAAATTCCACAATGTGATATTACACAATTGTTCAAGTCCATAATGTAAAAAATACACGTAAATAAAACATTGTTTCTAATGGACGTCACTTTCTCTTGTATTCCAACGATATTTGTTATGTGTTCTTAAATCTGGTACTATAATAAATATTATACTTTTAAATCTGTTGTTTTATTTGTCTGTAAAATGTTTCATGGTATAATTTTCTGTAAATTAAAATAAATTATTTATTGTAGGTTTTTATGCACATAAAATGATATAAGCAAACCATTTAACACTTTACAATAGTTTAACCTGGTTTAACCTTTATATATAAATCCTTGTTTTTTACCATTTGACTTGTTTGCCAACTTAGGACCAATCAGATGACTACACATTATTTTGTAGAAATCTGATTGGCTCTAACTGGCGAACAAGTCAATACGTCTTGCTTAAAAATAAATTGCATCTATTTAAATTTGCCGCCACATTTGTTACTTTCCTGGGTGGCTAGATGGCGCCACTTCAATATACAGATTACAGATTTCTTTACAAATTTGAAACCGTTTTGAAACTAAAAAATGCATGGGAGTTAGCGTTCTTCTTTAGTGTGTTCTGTGAACTACTCCTAGTTGGTCGGGAACGTAGCACAAGAGAACTATCGCCGCGGTCCTCACTGTGCCATAGCCATCCCGTGCTACACTTGCAGCCAAAACTGTGCGGCAGCGTAACCGCCAAAGTTAAACCTTTTCACGCAGCTAACACACATCAATGATGGAACCACAAGGAGAAGTGCGAGCGCCTTGCTAAATATTGGAAAGTGAAATTGACGTTTAAATTTGACACTGTTGACAAGTCTACTGCTACTAGCGCCCCCAATATCGCTTGTAGGAACTACGGACTAGATTGTCACGCATGGCGGGAAGTTTAAAAAAATAAAAAATTTTAATTCTTCATTTATTTTTAATTATGACATAGATAAAAACACAAAAAATACACCATTTTTTAAAAATATGTTTAATATCAATATCAAATATACAACAGAAATTAATTTCACCACAATAAATTAATAAAATTAAAAAATAATGTTACAAGTAGATCAAGAGACAAAATTAATTATAACAAAACTGAAAAAAATGGCGTCATAGATGGCTTAGAAATGACGATATATATCATAATTTTGAAAGTAAAATTATATAGGAAATGTCATCGATCATCATTTTGAAGCCAACTGGACGATTATTTCAAACATACAAGCTGAGTTCGTTCATAGTGCTCTGAGAAATCTAGATAAACAAAGAATAATAAATTAAAAGTATTCCAGGGAAAAAGAGAGGAAAAACCTGTATCGTCTCTGATATCTGTCAGGGTTTTGTTGAAAGTGTCATCTTTTTGCTCGAAGTTTTCAGGTCGATTAAAAAGATGACATTTACAACAATACTTTGCCGTAACTTTCACAAATATCAGAGAGAGAGTACAGGTATTGCCTCTCTTTTCCTCTGGGATGCTTTATATCTGTTCTTCTTTGTTTACCTATATTTCTAAGAGCATAATGCCAAACACGACTACAGTATATAATAATTTCAATATCCTAAGTGGAAAGAAAAAAGATCACCTTTCTGTTTTGTACTATGGTCCCTTTCTTCCGATGGCTCATCTCGTTGATATTTAGGAAGGTATCCATAAAATATATATTTTATTATCGGTCCTGGGATGAAAAAATATAAAATTCAATTTCATTTGATGATCCTTTTCTGTCACCTAAATCAGGAGAATGACAATGAGCATGTTAAGATGAAAAAAAACTTATTTATCAACACTTACCTACACGTTAGTCCAAGGAGTTTTATCAAAAACCTATATTTGCCTAAATAATTTATGTATTCAATTTACAAAGCAAACTGCAGCGTGTAAACAAAAGAAATAAATGGCGACAAGTCAACGTCAACGACCCGACAAGGAGAAAAGTGGTGTTCGAATAACAATTTATGGGTTGCAAAAATTGTTTTTGTCTCCTTTCAACGCACACTTTAGAAAGAAAAAAGAGATGAACAGTTATACTGAAAGAATGTCAAGGTTTTATCTGTCACTCTTGTCAATAATTTATCGGTAAGGAAGATTCCTAGAAAATCGCTTGTAGTCAAGTTTTCAACCATTTCCAGTTCTCCCATAAGAAGTGTCATCCACCTGGATGGAACATTCGAAGTGGGACAAAACATCGTCCGGAGGTAAAATACGCCCTCAATTGATTTCCGGGAGGGGGGTGCCTCACTCGAGCCTATCATCGGAGAAACAAAAAACATAATTGTTTCACGTTTGCGGCGTGGAACGTCCGCACTCTACTGGACGAGACAAATTCAAATCGACCAGAGGGAAGAACAGCACTGGTCTCACAGGAACTCTACCGGCTAAATTAGATGATACCGCTCTTAGTGAAACTCGCTGTGCGGATGAAGGTAGTCTCACTGAGGAGCATTAAACCTTGTTTTGGAAGGGTCACCCCGCAACACACAGGAGAATTCGTGATGTAGGCATTGCAGTCAAAAACGAAATCGCTAACTAGACTAACGGAAGTACCTATTGGTGTTTCTAAACGTCTTATGACGCTAAATTACCCTATATCAGACAAAACTTACCTCAACATTATTAGTGCCTACGCTCCTACCCGATACGCTAAAACTAGGGGACTTTAATGCCCGTGTCGGCAAAAAGCAGGAAATATGGCCTGACGTATTGGGAAAACATGGAATAGGAAACGTAAATAGCAATGGTGAATGCTTATTTAAAACATGCACAGAGTATAATCTTTGCATCACCAATACATGGTTCATGTTGAGGGACACGTTTAAAGGTACCTGGAAACATCCCAGATCAGGCCACTGGCATCAATTGGACTACGTAATCGTTCCAAGAACGCATCTGAAATATGTCAGACTCACAAAAGCCAGAATAGATGCCGAATGCGGCACTGACCACCGACTTTTAACTTCAAAAATCAAACTCCAATTAAAACCCAAACATCCGCACTGTAAAAGGCAAAGCGATATAACCAGATTGAACGTACGGACTCTAGAGAAAAACGATTCCACCGACGCCCTCCGGGAAGCCATCAAGGAATCACTTTCACCGATAACTTCAATCTCGATCTTGGAAGCTGAACAAGGCTGGACACAATTAAGGGATAGAATTCATAATACCAGCGAAGCAGTATTGCGAAAATCCAACAAAAAGAAATCACCAGACTGGTTTAACGAAAATCAACCGCATATACAGGCTTTGTTGGTAAAAAAGCAGAGAGCACATCAAGCAGTCACTGCAAATCCACACAATCCAAGGCTGGTGGACATATTTAAAGCAGCCAACAACACTTCGAAGAAACCTGCGCCAATTAAAGGATAACTGGTGGTCGTGAAAAGCTAATCAGATTCAAGAGTAGGCCGCGCATCACGACCATCGTAAATTCTTCTCGAGGCTGTAAAAGAAGTATACGTATATAGATGGGCCCAACCCAAGAACAGTTAACCTAATAGGACTGCTCATTCAGCCAAAAGTGTCCGCCAGGTGCATGCGAAAACTACTCGCTTTGTGACGTCATTGTAGCCCTTGTCATGGTTATTAGTCTTTATCCGGCAACCAATAATGCACGTGTGTGTACGGAATGCAAAACGTTCATTATTTAGTTTATTTATTTAAACACCTTATATGTATGCAGTATAGAAAAATTAACTGTATAAATCGTATTAAATACTCGGATAATGCTTTTTAAGAACATCAGTTCCCAGCATCACCTTTGCAAGCATTCTATTTAGAGTAATTCCATATTTTGCTTTAAAATAATTAATAAATAAAATCGTGGGCACTTAGTATGCACTTTGTCACAATCCACAACACAAAATAAACGTATTTATATACTCTATAGCTCTAAAAACTTTAAAGACACCTTTTCACATTTAAAATTGACAAAATAATTAACTCAAAATTTCTCAGCTGTTATTTTTATAAGTTTACCATAGG